CACCCACTCTATTCCTATATTCATTCAAGTACAAAGTACAGGTATCTAATTGCTCTCTTTTGAATAAACTAACTCATAGCTATATAATAAAGATGTAATATGCAAATGGTCATTACACCGTGAAGTGTAAGGTGACAGCCTAACAACAGGATCATGGATCAGCAGGAGGATGGGACAGCACGCTACAAGTGGGTAGCAGAGAGCTACAGGAGGGGTCAGGGCAACAAGCTATGGGGAGGGGGGGAGGAGGGAGCTACAGGAGAGCAGGGCAGCAGTGGGCGGAAAGCTACTAGAGGGCGGCAGCGAGCTACTGGCGCACAGATTCATGCGCAGGGCTACTAGTATGGAATAATAACCCAAAATTCCACACATTTAGAAACTTAGAGAAATTAGCTTCTAAGGTATACATAAGAGAGAGGAAATATTTCCCTCCAAAAATACCAATGAAAACTAAGAGTTGAGGACCCTATCCCATTTTTCTTTTTCTTTTACTTTTTTAAAATATATTTTTATTAATTTCAGAGAGGGAAAGAGAGATAAAAACATTAATGATGAGAATCATTGATTGGCTACCTCCTGCACACTCTCTACTGAAGATTGAGCCTGCACCCCAGGCATGGGCCCTGACAGGAAATTGTCCCATTACCTCCTGGTTCATCAGTCGACATTCAACCACTGAGCCACACCAGCTGGGCTATATCCCATTTTTCAAAAAGTTTTTATTTCTTTTAACTGTAGCAAAACCCAAAGACTATAAAATTTAACATCTTAACTATTTTCAAGTGTATAGTTCAGTAGCATTAAGTATATTCATAAATTGTGGGAAAAAATTATTTTCATGCTTATCAAATTATGATCATAATATTAAAGGAGATGGTTTAAAAATATAAAGTCATCTAAAACAAATGTATACCATTTTCAACTTTTTTTATTTCTTCCAAATCTTTGCACATCTACCTATTATAGGTACATCCATTTCATTATTTATTTACTATATATTAACCTGCTTTCTTCAACTACTACAAATGTTTTCTATTATTCCAGTTTTTTAAATAATGACATGAAATGGTATCTTTTCAAATAGTAGAACTACAATAACTTAATCATTTTCCAACTCGAATAGCTGGTTTCTAATTTCTTGCCAAAGTGGTTAATACTATAAATAAACAACTTTGTGAACTATTTTCCAAGAGTAGAAATAAGGGATAAAGATATACAAACTTCCTTGTTTTTTCTTAACCATCCCTCTTTTCCTTCTGCCATCCCATCCTTTTGTTGACGTACCTCTTCCCTTCATCCCAAACATGTGACTGAAATTCCTGTGCCCCCTTCAGACCTGTTTATTTTCTCCTTCCAAGAAACATTTCTTTTTAGCTCGTAAGTGGGTATAAGAAAAACAAATGCAGCCCCATCACCACATCCCAGAGCCTCCCTTCTCAGTCTATTAGCAGTGTTTTCCTTGCCATGGCCAAGAGGAATGCGGCCTCTGAAGGGTTTCGTCACATATCCCTTTGTGTGATCGGCCAACATCATGCTCATTTGAAAAGTCATAGACCCAAAAGCTCTCAGACTTCTGTGTAACTGAAAATGACTTTTACATATCAATTCCACACAAATAAATAGAGTGGGAGGAAGTTTCAAGCACAGAAAAAGTAACAAATAGCAAAACCAAACCACGGGATCTCTGTTTAAAATTAGGCCTAATACGGCCCCTGTTTTCCATAAGAGAGAAATCAGCCAAGTGCTTCTCTAGGCCATTAATGACTATCAGTCATTACATCACACATATGTCATCTGACACAATTAAACGCTCAGATTAGTAAACATTTCCCCCCTGCTACAACAGAGGGCCAGTGTTCACATGGGGAGGAGAGATCTCGGTACACACGAGAGCATCACAGCACAAGCCAAGCCAGACGGTAAGTCTAAGTTTCCCCTCATTCAGTTCAACCCATCAGTCCTGCTTTGACTAACAAATGTACGTGAAATTTTTATAACGTGAAGAGAACTTATTTTCCAACGCTTTTCTGCCAAATGCAATAAGCATTAGCCCTGGACGGCAAAGAAAACTGAACTTCAGTAAAAGTCAACACATTAACAAAGTCGCCTCTTCCCCTGATACCCGGGTTTCAGACATAATATATACTTTGGGGAACACTCCAGATTTTGTTACCTGTCCAATAGGGTATTTGCAATGAATGCTGAGTGGATGATCATAAATATATGCTATGCATATGCACAAAGGGTTTGCATGAAACTTCTTTTTCTTTAATCCTACTGTAGTTTTGCTAAAGAAAACCTAGGATGTCTATGTTGCACCTGGAAATGATTAAAATAAAAATGCCGCATGAGTTTTTTTTTTTGGAATTTGTGACATTGGGCAGGTTGCTTAGCTCTGCTCAGAGCCTCAAGTTCTTCATCCATAAAATGGAAGCAATAATGCCACCCTCACAAAATGACTGTATTAAGTAAAGTAACAAATAAAACTGACCTAATACTCAACAGATACTCAATAAATATGAATTTCTCTTCTCTTCCCTTACTTCAGGGGTGGGGAACCTTTTGTCTGCCAAGGGCCATTTGGATATTTATAACATCATACAAGGGTTATGCAAAATTATTAACTTAAAAAGCAGCCTGATGTGTTTGTCAGACATTCAATGAACTCACCCCTAACACCTTGGCAGGCCAGATGGGCGTTTCCCACCCCTGCCTTACTTCCTTTCTTAGGTTCTTCCAACCATATTCAGATGGTTGACAGGGCAGTAATTCCAATTATACAAATGATGACATTTAGGTGTCTCGCTGCTAAAAAGAAGAAAAAAAAATTCTCGACATGCTTACTTTCATTTAACATTATACCTCTAAACCTAGAAAGCGAAAGGTCTTTCAAAAAGAAAGCCCTTTTCCCAAAAATTTTAGAATAAATTCTTGAAATTATGATGAGCAACTGAAAAGTCCTCACTCAGAGAGGCTAGGCCCTTCCTGTGTCAGAATCCCAAGATGCTTTTCCCAGAGCAAGAGCCCTGGTCCTTCTGCTCAGAGCTGGTGGCCGGGGAGAGCAGCCTAGCAGGTGCTCCATGAGGTGCGGGAGGTGGCAGCAGGCTGACTACAGACTGGCGTGCTAGAAAGAGAGGAACAATAACGTGGGCGTGCGGGTTTCGGTCACTGCCCGATCAAAGACACGGGCTGTAGGAAATGCCTTACGGTTAAAAGCAGGAGAAAACTGCTTGACTGACTCCCTTATGCACCTAAACTCATAACCATTGATGGGGGATTTTTATACCAGTGACCACCTATTGGAAGTCTAAAGAGAGGCTGCAACCCACAACGTGCCTAGAGACAACTAATGCAGAACAAGTACTCCTAAGTGAGCTAACCCCGTCATCCAGGGTCACTCAGCCAGGATGCCTTTCCCAGAGCTGTCCAGAGGAGCTCTCACGGATGCCCACTGCACCTCTGTTTCTTCATTTGGGGGAGATTTGCAGGTGGTTTGGAGGCAGTGGTAATAAAGCCATTTTGTCTTAAAACTCCGTTCTGTCTTTGAACTCTGTCGTGTATTGGAACTCGCAGTTTTCTTGTTCTATTTATCACAAATGAGTATCCTGACCGCCTGGGCCACCTCCATTACAGTGGTGTCCAGAGCAACATGGGAATATGGGGCCTCTTGTTTGATTTGCATTAGGGGTTTCAAGATGGTCACCACAGAGCATGAGACCAAACATGGGTCCCGTGAGTCCACCCAGGCCAGGGCTGAGGGGAGGGTGTACAAGGAGACTGGACAGCAAGTCCATCTCCAAACAACTGGCCGGACTGAGCATGTCAGTGTGTAGCCAGGCAGCCTTACTACAACACAAATACTGCACACAACACAAATCCTCTGCTTGCTTTGAGCATTTCTTGACAAAACTAATGAATCTTAAAGTCCACAGACCACAACTGATTATAAATGAATAAGATTCTAATTACAACAAAAGGTTCTCTCATTCAAAAGTGCAGAACACCTAAGTTCAAGGGTTAGGGAATGTTATTATATTTCTGAAAACTTGATAAAGAATCAAGCTGGAGAATTTAGCCTTATGTATGATCTTGTAATTTTCATTGGGAAATTATGTTCATGATTTAACTATGTCATTAAAATTTTACTAAAAATAATTAAAATAGAGAACAATATCTAGTTATAACAATGTGAATATTTATGATAAAATTGAATTGTGAATTATATTGAAACTAAGTCACATTTTCTTATAGTACTCATATTTTCCTTTTGAAAACTTGTTCATTCTCTTTTTTCATCTAAACAGAATGGAGGATTAAAAATACAGATTCAAGTAAAACCCCTGGTCTTGATCATCTTTTCTGTAACAGTAGCTGTCATGGAAAAACCCAATGCCGAGGCTAAGCAGAAAACATAAAAACCCAGCACTTGGAGTTAGCACCCCTCTGCCACTGTGCCCACAAAAAGACCCAGCCTCATCACAAATGAGACCAGGCCAAGGGTGGTAGGTATGGCAGGAGGCCTGAGAAGGAGAGAGACAAGTCAACAAAGAGATCCCCGGGATGAGGAGGGGAAAGAAAACAATGAAAAAATAAACCAAACGAAAAGTGCACGGAAGAGAGAAGTGTGGACCAGAGACCCATCAGGCTTGCGAGGAGCCACTTAACCGCACGGGAGGCATTCGTGTCTGTCTGTGGTGAGCCATGAGCCCCGCACCTCACGTACCCTGTGGAGCATAATCTCTGTCAAAACACGGTGGGTGAGTACTTACCCCGTCGTAGGGGGAAAAGCCCAGTGTTTTTCCCTGAGTGCCCTTCGGCTGTTACAGACTCTTCAAATAACCGTGAGCATTTCCAGCAGCAAATGTATTGTCAGTACAGTTATGGAGGTTTACGTAGTAGCTATTTTTCTTTCCTCTAGGGAAGCTAACTCTGAAAAAACACACCTGATTTTCAAAGTCAACAGAACGTGGTGGAGGAACTACCCCTGGCATTGTACTTGCCTGCTGGTGGGTGCCGTCCAGCAGGGTGTCCAGGTGCTGGAGCGGGGCGGGCGTTTTGTCCTTGAACCTCGTTAACAGCCGGCGTTGGATGGCCCGAAACTGCACAGCTCTTTCGGAGAGGAGTTCCTCCAACTTTTCACCATTTTTCCGCAGCTGCAATGAACAGTTTCTTAACTTCAGGTTAAATGTGTATAACAAAACATATTTAAAGTAAAAATACGGAAAATTCCAATAAAAGTCTGAAAGAGTCATGAAGAAATAAAAACATATCGTAGAGTTAAGAATTAAAGTAGTGATATGGTACATGAATACATAGATAATACAGTGAGTAGGTTAAATAAAAATTTAGTAAAGATGCCTACTATGCCTGGGGGAAAGTAGATTATTTAATAAATATCTTGAGAAAATTAATTAAACACATGCGGGGAAAGAGTAAGAATTTCTCCCCTAGTATTTACAGCAAAATTAACTGCAGAGGAATCAAAAGTTTAGACACAATAAAAGTACCAGAAAAATTAGAATTTTTATATAATCTCAGCATGAGAAAGACCTATATGAGTATAGTCAAAATCCAAAAGCCACACACATGTGATAAAAGTACTGGCAAAATTAATTCTATATGATTTACAAAACAGAAAACCATTCTGAGTAAAGTGATAAGACAAAAAGCAAACTGCAAAAAAGAGCAATAACCACACAGACTAAAAGTCATGCCCCTAAACTATATCTAGAAAGCATCTACAAACCAATGAAAAAGGACCACACCCAATACAAATCATTAAGAAAAAGAGCAACAAACCAATAAAAAAATGAGCAATATTTACAGAAATGTTAATACAAAGAAGCTCTCAAACATACAGCCTTTGACCTACCAATCCCACTTCAAGGATCTTATGGGCATGCCTGCAAAAACTAATGTAGATATAAGAATAGTCATTATAGTATAGTTTGTTATTGCAGTAAGATGTTATTAAAAATCAAAATTCTCATCAACAGTGGACAGGTTAAATGAATAAAGAAGACTACTTTGCAGGAATACTGGGTACTAATATGCAAGGCTCTCCAAAGATACACTAAATAAAACAAAGAAAATAACAAATACAGAAGAGTATGTACAATATACTAGCATTCATGCGTTTTTTTTTTTAAACAAATGTATTTTTTGACATAGTTGTGATGAAAAAGTTCTAGAAAGACACGCCAGATACCAAAACCAGATACTGAACAGGAGACTAAAGGATGAGAATCAGAAATTACTCGTTCCACTGTAACTCTCTCCATAATTTTAAATTTAATGTTATTAAGATACAAGAAAGCTAGTCAAAGTCATAGAGTAGAAGAAATTCTCTATGAAATTATATCATGTGAATTACTAATTCAACCTTATAAAATAGCCATAACTAGTTCTGAAAGAAATATATCCAAAATGTTCAGAAATCAAGCATAGCTAACATTTCTGATATCAAAACAAACTTTATCTTTTCATTATATATACTTTCCAATACATGATTTTAAAATCTTGGAATTTTATTAGCTTCTTTTAATACCAATGTTAGAAACAATAAGGAATTAACTAAATACAAGAATATTCTCCTGAAGGGGGAAAAGCTTTCTTTACCAAAAGTTGTGATAAATTTCTTAAACTAAAATGTTTTAAAAGTAATACTTCATCAATAATTATGTCAATAGCCGAAACCGGTTTGGCTCAGTGGTAGAGCGTCGGTCTGCGGACTGAAAGGCCCCAGGTTCGATTCTGGTCAAGGGCATGTACCTTGGTTGCAGGCACATCCCCGGTAGGGGGTGTGCAAGAGGCAGCTGGTCGACGTTTCTAGCTCTCTATCCCTCTCTCCTCTCTGTAAAAAATCAATAAAATAAATTTTTAAAAAATAATTATTATTATGTCAATAATATCAGCATATACAAAGGGAAACTCTAATAAGTTCAACACTATTTGGTAATGACATTGTTTGTAATTAGATTTTATGCCCTGAATTTTTCCCTTTATGTTCACACTATATTAAACAAAGTTATTACAGCTTGAAGTCAATGCCTTTAGGATGTTGAAAGGGACTGAAATTAAGTAGACTATTCATGTGACTCACTCTCTCTCTCTTTCTCTCTCTTTCACACACACACACACACACACACACACACACACACACACACTCACACACCATAGTTTATTATCAAAAATACAAAAATTTTAATGAGTCTTTAAAAAGTAGTCATTCTGTCTTGCTTGAATGATGTTCAAAATTCTTTTGAAATTTCCCTTTGTAATTGCCTAGAAAGTCTATCTATAGACCAATAAATAAGTAGAGCCTGGTGAATTTTTTCACACATGGGACTTTTAAAACAATGAAATATTCAGGCAACAAAGTTACCGTGAGATCTCATTTACTTAGACATTTAGTCATTTAGCATTTTACTAAGTGTCTTTGGTGCCAGATACTGGCGAATATTTTAGGTGGTCACCCTCATTCAGATGCAGAAGTGCTTGTTAAGAAAAAAAAAGGAAAAGTCACATTGCTTTACAATCACACCTCCTTTATGGTGTGCTACAGTTAGTTAGCCTAATGGCTGCCAATAAGCTCCAATCATTTCAACACTGGCTTATTGGGGTCAAAGGTTAAGTCCTCGTGTGGAAGAATTAAATCAGCTCTGTTCTGAGGCAACACCACATGCTTAGCTCCAGGCGGCCACTCTTAATTGTCTGCAAGGGATCACAAACCCAGGCAAAAGGGCAGGGACAGATTCACAAAATCTTCTGTCCATAAAAGAAGAACAGATTGGAGCATCCGGCCTAATAGTGTAATCGTACAGTTCTCACTTCTGCAGCATGTCTTGCTTTAATGTGCTGAAAAAATGATGTTTGTTCTAATCATACACACCTCAAAATGATGATCGATCAACGCAAAATATTCTTGAAGGGGCATGGATCCAGAAAAAGAACATGCGAAATCTTTGCTTCCCTGCTTTTCAAAATATTCTCGAAGGCGGAGAATAAGCTCATTTGTTATGAGCCAAAGATCTTCAAACTGTTCACTCTGAATGCGATATCGCTCTAGGAGAGGGAAAAAATAATTAATAAAAATGCTTATTACTAGCTGGAAATGCATGAATTGTCACTAAGTCTGATAATGAATACCAACACAAAAAGCACAGAGATTTCTTTGATGGAATATAGAAACAATTTCTACTGGCTTGATAAAAATATTTCCAGTGCATTATTGAGGTTTTCTGCATCAGCCACTTAACATTTTCAAATTTAATGCCAAAGGTATGTAGTCACAGTGCCAAGCTGTAGAGTATGGTCCTTTTTATGTTACAGTACAATAAGAAAAGAAAAAAAAACACTTAAATTTGAGTCCTTCTAAAGAACAAACAACACTTTACTTTAAAGGTAAGAAAGCAGCCATTGTAAAAATACAATCTGGTATCCTTACAGTAAACTTCCATACCACGGACCAATTCAGGCAGGGGGTGTCCATTAAAGCAGAAAGTCCGTTACACTAGTATAATAAAGTAGGCTTTCTGAATGTGTGTGTTAAAAAAAAAAAAATGACAAATTAATTTGTTTACATGTTTTTCCTTATGTAGACACATTTGTAAAATTAAAAGTTTAATTTCACAGAAAAGTTTTCTGTGTGTATCACAGTAATTTTAAATTTATATTGAGTAGGTGTAGTCAATGAATGCATTCACCAGTCACCGAGAAGAGAAAAGGAATGCTGGGGTGAGGGCTAGCGCACATGACACATCGCCTGCACACGTTAAAGCTGCTGCAGCCCTAGGCGGTTTGGCTCAGTGGACAGAGCACTGGCCCACTGACTGACTGAAGGGTTGCAGGTTCCATTCCAGTCAAGGGCACATACCTTGGTTGCAGGCTTGATCCCAGGAGGCAACCAATCGATGTGTCTCTCTCACATCGATGTTTCTTTCTCTGTGTCTCCTCCTCCCTTCCACCCTCTCCAAAAATCAATCAGGTGAGGATTAACAAAACAAAACAAAAAAAATGCTGCAGAAAGTCACACCAAGTGACAACAGAACCAGCTACCATGAGGGATGCAGTGTAATCACATGCTGATCATTCCTGGACACTGTTTACAAGCAGTACTCTTGGGTTTAAATATGTAGGCTATAGTTGTAGACATGTAATATCCATGTATGTAGATGAAATTACTACAGGCTTCTTTCTAACATATGGCCTATTTGCTAAAATTCGTTAAAAATAACAGTGAATTCATAACAAAAAAAAATAACCTGTTAATTTAAGTATAAGTAAATCTTGGTTAAAAGTATTTTTAAATTAGCAGAGTGTTCATTTTCACATATGACATACAGACTAGAATCCAAAGTCTGTTAAATCGAGGTCCACAAGGTTTTACTGTATCTATAAAAAATGCATTTTATCTTTGAATTATAAAATTTATATCAATCACAATTAGATGTTGAAAAATATTGGTCAAGACCTGGCTGGGTAGCTCAATTAGCTGGCACATTGCCCCGTACACCAAAAGGTTGAGGGTTCAGTTCTGGTCAGGGCACATACCTAGGTTACAGGTTCAGTTTCAAATCGGGACTCTTTTCTAAGGTAATTGATTGGTGTTTTTCTCTCACATTAATGTTTCTCTCTCTCTCTCTCTTTCTTTCCCATTTCTACTCTCTCTAAAAATCAATAAAAACATGTCCTCTGATGAGGGTTAAAAGTTAAAACTATATGATATAAAAAGTGTGGAGTGAAATAAGTAAAAAATCTAAAGCTCAATGAAAATTTCAAATATAAATTTCTAGAAACCCAGCAGCTACTTGAAATAGAATGAATGTTTACATTCCCCCAAAATGCCCAATGTGATGGTATTTGGAAGTAGGACCTTTGGGGGTGATTAGGTCATAAGGTGAATCTCTCATGAAAGAGATGAGTGCCCTTATAAAAAAGACCCCAGAGAACTCTCTTGCCCCTTTGCCATAGCAAAAAGACAGAACCTGTGAACCTGAAGCAGGCTCTCACCTGGCACCAGCTGTACCAGAGCCATGATCTTGGACTTCCCAGCCTCCAGAACTGCGAGAAGCCAATTTCTATTGTACAAAAGCCACCCAAGTCTCTGGTAATTTGTTATAGCAGCCCAACTGAACTAAGACAGTACACTACTATGATCAAGTACAATGCATGAATGTCGCCAATAATAGAATGTAAAAATAATAAACGTCTAAGTAGATGTAATATTTTCTCTAACATTTTGGGCTTTAATTATATTCTTATTTTCATCAATACATGAGGAGGGGGGAAGAAATCTAATTTCTTTTTTCAGTAAAGAAATTATACTTGGGATTCAGAAATATAAACACAATTATTTCAGTTGTTTTTTTCAGATTACCAAAAATCAACAAGAATTAGAGTCAAAGATTTATAAGGTAATCTTTTGATGATTACGTATTTTCTCAGTTTTTGTGTTTCAAAATAGTTAACATTGCCCTGGAAACTTTCCAGAGCCTGCATTTCATGGAAAGGAGAAATAAAAATCTATTTATAATATAACATGAAGGAAGAAAGTTGTATTTTAAAATACACCCTTACAATACTAATAATTAAAATAGCTGCCAACATGAACATTCGATTTACTTTTTTTTTTTTTAGTCCTTTTTCCTTTGCATCTTGTTATAGCAGCTCAGTGGAAATAACCATTCCAGCTTCCAAATGAATAAATTTAGATGACTGGAGTGCAGTCAATTGCCATTCCACTCTGCTACAAATGGAGAAAATAATGGATTTAACTAAGCAGGGCACAAAAATGCATCACGTCAGTGTCTATTCATGTCAGAACATCTGAAGTTCATCAATATAAATAATGTTTGTATTCATGTCATAAACAAAGCATCAGTATAATTTATACTATTTGGAAATTTTTAAATGCGAGATGGAAAGGCAGATGAAGGCTTTTGGAACCAAGAAGTTTGAGAAAATAATATAAACAGTTTCAGTAGATATTAGTATAAGTATTCTAAATATACAACCTCTTCAATATTAGTGGAAACTGTAGATTATTTCTCTAAATTTACTTTTCAAAAAGGCTTTTTCCAAGCTGGATTTATATAATTTGGCTATTGTCCCTTGATAATATAGCTAAGAAGTTCTAAGATAAATATAAAACAGTAATAAATTGATGACTCACTGCATACATTAAAGTGCATACAGTGGCATGGGGGTGGGTTTCCAGGGACTTTGGATTTGGTCATTACATTACACTTATCTCTATTTTTTTTTTTTTACTTCATTAAAAAACTACCACAAAGCCACTACTATATAAAATTCCCAGCACAGAAGAAAATTCCCTGATTTCTAAAACCCCACACTCTATCCAGCATCTGAGGATACCTTTTCCTCTTTGTAGAGTGCTCTCCACCTAATAATCTCCTATTCATCCTTCAAGATCTTGGAACTTTACTCCTTTGGGCTGCAATTGCACCTAAAGTGGGCTTCTATCAGCATACCAAGCTCGAGTATTGGTTCTCTATCTGTTTCTCCCATGTCCAAGAGCTCCACAAGAGCCACCAATGTTTATATCTATCACTAGAAGCCTGGTGCACGAAATTTGTGCACAGGGCAGGGGGTGTCCCTCAGCCCAGCCTGCACCCTCTCCAATCTGGGACATCCTTCTCACAATCCAGGACTGCTAGCTCCCAACAGCTAGCCTACCTGCCTGCCTGATTGACCCTAAACGCTTCCGCCTGCCAATTGATTATCCCCTAACCACTCCCCTGCCAGCTTGATCCATGCCTAACTGCCCTTCCCTGCCGACCTGGTTACCCCCAACTGCCCTCTTCTGCAGGCCCGAGTCCCCCCCAACTGTCTTTCCCTACATGCCTCGGTCCCCCCTAACTGTCCTCCCCTGCAGGCCTGGGTTCTCCCCAACTGTCCTCCTTTATAGGTCTAATCCCTCCCAACTGCCCTCCCCTGCTGATCAATTTGTGGTGGCCATCTTGTGTCCACATGAAGCTGGCCATCTTGTGTGTTGAGGTGACAGTCAATTTGCATATTACTCTTTTATTAGATAGGATGTCTGCTGACTGCAAAATGAACAGAGGCAAGAGCAAGCCTCTCACATGCTTTCCTCTGAAGATATGTTGGTTAATATGTTTCAAGATTACATATGCTGTGGAATATAAAACAGAAAGCAACAATCAAACAAAACAAACAAATTCATAGGTATTGACAAAAAGGATGGTGGTTACCAGAGGAAAAGGGGAGTAGGGGCAGAGTGATGAGGGTTAAGGGGAACAAAAGGACAGTGACAGAAAGAGACTAGACTTTGTGTGTTGGATCCACAATGCAAAAAACAGATGATGTATTATTTAAAGTAGGTTTACAGTTATGAGTTTATTCTTTTACTAATATTTATTCATTATTGTATTATTTTCTATATACTTCCATAAACTTAATTTTGCATATCCCTGATATGTATTAATCAATGTCACCCCAATAAATTTAATTTCAATAAATAAGTTTATTTTAAAAGATTATAGATCTTTCTTTTGGCAGATTAAAAATAAAATTTTTCTCAAGGCCCAACCCTTATTCACATACATTTCTATAATGTTTTCATTATATATAAAGCCAAACAATCAAGAGACAAGCAAAGAACTTTTAAACTTAATCATATTCAATTCAATCCCTTATTCTAACATGTTCACATCTTTCAAGATTATCTTTCATTGTATTACTTTTCTTTTCCCAAAGACTTACACGAGGCCACATAAATTTGCTATTTGCAATTTTTTTTAAATAGATTTTATTGATTTTTTACAGAGAGGAAGGGAGAGAGATAGAGAACTAGAAACGTCGATGAGAAAGTAACATTGACCAGCTGCCTCTTGCACACTCCCCACCGGGGATGTGCCCGCAACCAAGGTACATGCCCATGACCAGAATCAAACCCGGGACCTTTCAGTCCACAGACCCACACTCTACCACTGAGCCAAACCGGTTTCGGTGCTATTTACAATTGCTTAACCCTGGTTGTGACACTGAAAAATATGTATTTATTCAGCATTCACTGTTAATGACCAGTTTAGTTGGGTACAGAAATCTAAGTTGAAAATCATTTCCCTTAAATCTTGTAAATAATTCTTTCATTGTGTTCTAATATCCAAGACAATCTTCTTAATTCGTGTTCTTTGAGTAGCTTGCTTTTTCCTTTTTAATCTTTGAGGATATGCTTCTAATCTTTAGAGCTCCAAGATTTCAAAAACTGTGTTTAGATGTGCTTCTTTTTCTGATTCATTGTGCCAACATCAAACAGGCTTTTTCAATATACACAACTGTGACATCTCATTTCCTTGAAATCCTTGTCTCCGTTGTTCTCTCCATCTTCACAAACCACTCTCCAAAAGATGTGATTTACATCCAATCTCTCCTTTCACAGTAAAATTGCAAAAGCTTGTTTTTCCTGATCATCAGCCTCTCCCACGTAACTCAATCATTTTCATTACTATTCAAACATGTTCTACTATTACAAATTTAAAAACAAAATAAAACCCACACTCCTTCCAATTACATCTCACTTCTGAATCACTCAATATTGAGTTTGGTTGTCCAGTTCTTTCTAAACACTTGCAACACTAGATCCTCTTCATTTATCCTTGGATTAATCTGTAGCTTAGATGGCACTGATTTGAGCTCAGGTAGAATTATATCTAGTAAATTGAGTTTTATCAATATTTTTAAAGCTCTTTGAAATTAGATACTCATAAATTATAAAGATAAGCTATAGGAATATTATTTTTAAATATATATGTTTTATTGATTTCAGAGATGAAAGGAGAGGAAGAGAGAGAGAGAAACATCAATGATGACAATCATTGATCGGTTGCCTCCTGCACACCCTCCACTAGGGATTGAGTCTGCAACCTGGGCATGTGCCCTGACTGGGAATCAAACCATAACCTTCTGGTTCATAAGTTGAAGCTCAACCACTGAGCCACACAAGCTGGGCTAGAGAAGTGAGTTGTCTTTGTGATAATTTAGAAGAGAAATTACATCCTGGATTCAGAATCACAAAAAGGAAAAATGCCAGACACACATTGGGTACAAATCAACTCATTCTTTTCTTGGGGATGGATATTCTGGTAAGAGCAGTAGGGAGCACCAACATCTACCTCAACCCCAGAAAACTGTACTTTCCTCATATCTATCTCCCTTCATCACCAAGGGCACTTCCTAGGTAGAATTCTGTGTGTCATTGAAGTAAAAAATACCACCAGGGAATTGTAACGGCTACTCTTCAGGTTTCAGTTGACACAGTTCATTTGGCTCCTTATTTAAAAAGTCTTGTCCTATCCCATGATTCAGCCTGTCAGCCTACACTATGGCACAGCCATCTATTCAGATAGATGCTACTAAATAGCTGAATATTTCATGATATTTACAGAATGGTAAAGTAATCATGCACTACAGCAATGCTCTAACAGTCACTTTATCTAAAAAAATAATAAACATAGTGCATTAGGACATAAATATCCCCATTTATCACATGGAATCACTTCTTGCCTTTTTTAAATGACCTCAATTTCTGACTCATCATATAGCATCATAAACTGAAGTCAAACAGATTTGTACAATTTTCCAAGGACCTGTTGGCAACAATTTTTTAGTTTAACTAAAGAGAACAGTTTAACAAGAGAAATGTACAAAAATGATTCCATCATCCAAGTGAAGATTAAAGCTAATCAAAACAAAATGGTGTCACCCTGGTTAGGTGGCTCAGCTGGTGGGAGCGACACTCTGCGCACCAAAAGGTTCCCAGTTTGATTCCCAATCAGGGCACATGCCTAAGTTGTAGTTTCAACCCCTGGTTGTGGCATGTATGGGAAACAACCGATCAATGTTTCTCTCTCTCTTTTTTCCTCTCTCTCTCCCTTCTCCTCTTCTTCCTCCTTTTCCTCATCCTCCTCCTCCTCATCTCCCCCTAAAAATAAATAAAAATATATTCTCAGGTGAGGATTTAAAAAAAAAAAAAAAGAATATAAGAATATATGCACACATAAAAATTAACTCCAGTTTTCTGAGTCCCTAAAATCTAGTTCAACATATACCTATCTCATAAACATTTTTCAATCCTTTAAATTCCTCCCTCAAACTATCCTCATCCCCAAAGATAAGTTTCTAATAAAATAGGACCTAGCTTTATAACTTTTATGTCCTATGTACTTAATACTATGGCTCTTATTTTTCAACATTTAGCTGAACACCACCCTTTGCAGAAACCCTTGGTGATGATGTAGTGCACTTAATAAAAAATTTCAAAAGCCATAACTCCATGGTTTACTTACGTGAGGTTTTAGAAGCAAGAAGAGTAACTTGGGAACCACCTAAGAACCGAAAACCCATCACATTCACCTGTTCCTCTTCGGACTGATTGGCAAAGCCTGCCAAAAAAAAAAAAAAAAAAGGTGGGGGAGGAGGGGAGAAATCACCTTACATAACCATGAGGTAAGACAGTATTTGAAACAGGAAACTTAGCTGATGACAAGTATGTTTTATATCATTAGTCATGTTTAACCCCAAGCATGAATTGGATTCACTGATTTTCATGTTAGCTTCCAGTTGCTAAAATTTCTGCCACATAAGAATTCTCTGAAATCATCTTATTTCCTTTCTCCTACTGGTTCATTCTAGGTCTAAGGTAGGAAATGCACAGGTAAGCCTGGAACAGAAGCAAGGAAATGACCAGAAACTAGCAGAGTTGTGTAAAACTAGCAGAGCCAATTTAAAGAGACTATCACTGACCAGAAGTGAAAATATTTAAGTATCAAAAAATAATAGCTGTAATGGAGTGAAACACATCAAATCTAATTAAAGGCCTGTGTTTATGTTGATACAAAAAAAAAAAAAAAAGAAAGAAAGAAAAGACAAGAAAAAGCCAAATGATCAGTCTTAGAGGAATAGAAAATCAACACTTTTTTTTTAATTGATTTCAGAGAGGAAAGTAGAGGGAGAGATAGATAGAAACATTAATGATGAGAGAGAATCATTGATTGGCTGCCTCCTGCACACCCCACACTGGGGATCAAGTCCACAACCCAGGCATGTGCCCTGACCTGGAATCGAACCATGGCCTCCTGGTTCATGGGTTGATATTCAACCACTGAACCATACCAGCCAGGCAACTCATTATTTTAAAAATCAGTAATAAACATAGGGAACCATGCATTTATGCTGGTGATCCTACGTATGCACCACATAACCCTAGTACATAAGGAAAGGTCCTCCATATAGAACTATTTCAGCCAAAAACTGAAGGAAGCTTGAAAGAACTAGAATATAGCTATTTTCAACTTCCAGTGAATGAATGGATCTCAGCATTTAATATCAATGACTGAGACCATCACAAACCAAAAGAGACAAGCAGATACCTTGTCCCCCCGCTGAAAGCATAAGCCACCATTCATTAAGCAATGTGGCCAAAATAATTAAGCTGAACTATTAGCTCTAGCTGCAACTGCAATTTACAGACAACAAAGTGGACAGAGAAATAAATATTAAACAACATCCCACAGATGCAACTGGTGAAATTCAGAGCAAGAGAAACACATAGGAAAAATAATACGTACTATTCAGCAAATAATTAAAAGGGAGGTGGAGGGGTTAAAACCTATAGAAAAGGAGATACCAAAAATGTATATTAAAAAATTGAAAAAATGTTATCCACATTTGAATCCTGACTCAAAACAAATAAAAATTATAATGTTGGAGACTTTCACTTCAGGCCACGTTGGAGAAACTGGAGCCACAGTTCCATTCCATCTAAAACAACTTAAAAGAATGGGACAGAAAATATGAAATACTTTTTTAAAATATATTTTTATTGATTTCCAGAGAGGAAGAGAGAGGGAGAGAGAGAAAGAAACATCAATGATGAGAACCATTGATCGGCTGCCTCCAGCCCACCCCATCCTAGGGATAGAGCCTAAAACCTAAGCATGTGCCCTGACTGGGAATGAAACCACGACCTCCTGGTTCACAGGTCGACACTCAACCACTGAACCACACCTGCCAGGCTGAAATACTTTTTGTTAATACATTGGAAATACAGAATTGAACAATGATCCCTTCCAAACAAGAAACAAACAGAGTGAGCCTTATCATTGCCCTAGTTTACTGCCTTGAGAAAGATCTGTAGGCCGCAAGACAGGTTGGGAAACCAAGGTGCAACCCGGCGTTCTCCCCAGGAAGGGAGATAGAATTAGGAGTCTGGGAAGGTCAAAGTCGCACAAGTTCACAGGCAGGATGTCAGAGGAGAGAGCACGACAGAGGGAGGTCTGCAGAGATCTGCTAAGTGCCCCTGGAGTACATATCCCAACATCAATGCGTCCACACCTGTAAGGAAACGACGTGAGGCTGAGGGGAGGCCACCGAAAGAGATTCCAGGGAACATGGAATCTAGGACCCCACCCAGAGCCAGGACAAGCCCTGTTCTCACTGGCCAGGATTCCAACCAGCCTCGTTCCCTAGGCATCGCGCAGAACACATGGAAGAGTTCACCCTCAGAAGCAGGTGAGGTTTGCCCTCGAATAAAATGCTGCTCCCATCCTGCCTAACACCACTTGAAAGGATCAAACTTTTTCAAGTAACTTAACAGTGTCTCAGAAAAAAAGCTCAAGAAGTTTTAGAGGAAAACTAAAATACTCAACACACAACTAGATAAAATTCAGAAGTTCTGTTCTTCAAACAAAACTACAGGACATGCAAAGAAGGAAGAAATTACAATCCATATGAAGGAGCAAATCAATCAGAACTAACTCAGAAACGACATGGATGACAGACTCATAGGCAAGGGCACTAAAACAGTTATTATGTTGTTGTGTACGTTCAAGGACATTCTATTAGAGACATGGAAGATGGTTTTAAGAAGAAGAAAAGACCCATATCACTCTTGAGAGATGACAGCTACACTGTCTGAGGTGAATGAAACACATGCTGAGTGGAAACACATCACACTCTGCAGAAGAAAGTGACTCGAACGTATAGCAATAGAAACCACCCAAAATACAGCACCAGGAGAAACAAAGGTTAAAAAGACAGTATCACTGAAATCTGGAATTCAAGGACAGTTTGATCCAACATGACCTGAAATTAATACATACTAGTCTTCTCCATACCAAGAGTCAAAAATGGAAACATGAAAAAGTACCAAGAGTGCTTCTATTGAACAATGATAGGATTCTATCATGTTCAATATGAACACAGATCCACGATCTCCCATAAAGAACCAGCTGTATCACATACATTGGATCGTGAAGAAAATTTTTTTAAAAATCTGTCATTGAGTCCTATTTCTAAAGTAAGTAAGAAGCAAATATGTGCTGATGAGCCTAAGATACCAATGATATCAAAACAACTGAGCCCCAAATCAGGAGAAAACATACCTAAACTTTCCTAGGCTTACAGAGATTACCTCTCTGATTGAAAGCCTGCATTTTTATTCAGTCTCTGTGGGTTTCATCCATCCACAGTAAAAGTCAGCCACTCAGAAGCCAAGGTCTTCAATACTTTTCTAAGGAACCAATAAATTCAGTCTGCAGCATATAATTTCCTACTAAATTTCCAGGATAGTATAGGAGACCCAAGGAATTAATACATTTGTATAAGATGTTATGAAAGTAGGGACTCTTCCTGTCTTCTTTATAATCCAAATTTGTTATAAGAAAGTGACTAAGAAAGAAGGAAAGGGAAGGGAAAAACCAAAGGTACAAAACTATTTGCTAAAGATAGATAGATAGATAGATAGATAGATAGATAGATAGATAGATAGATAGATAGATATAAAAATATAAATATATATATATTCAAACTCAAGCCAAACTAAAGAATAGATTAATTGTAATAAAAAGCATTCCATTTTGAAGGCTTTTCATTATACATAAACAATGCTTCTTAAACACTTCAAATTCATGAAAAATAAATTGTAAGCACTTTAAGTAGTTAATAACACAAAAGTTGACTTACCATAAATCGCTAAAGCTTGTGGGAAATACTCTTTGTATTCTAAATCCTACCCATTAATGCAAGGGTGAGGATGCACCTCAGAGTCAATGGTGATGATTTTTTAATGACGGATTTGAAAGGGTTGGTTTAATTCCCAGATTTGTTTTCTTAATTCCACCCCATCACCAGTGAAGTGACTGGAGGTACATTAGAAACCTGGTTACTGCAGATGCTGCATCCAATTCATGCCTCTTTTTTTTGTAAGTTAGAGGAAAACTGACACCTGGAGAAAGTCACACCTTCACGGATTACCCCAAATGTTCACTGTGACAAGGAAGCTTTATATACGGAGCCCCTTCTTAGCGATTAGGGCCAGAGAACCAACATTCGCCCCCTCCAGCTGCTGCAGGCAGCAGAACCACAAAGAGCCTAAGATACCTACTTAGGCGATTACTTTTCAGGGGCATAAGACGGCACTTTAAAAAGGTACCTATCCAGAAACCTACCATGAAAGTGAACAATAAATATTTACATTCCAAGCCAAAAAAATTCCACAGTCTAAAGAGAAACATTTGATGTTCTCATCTCTGAATACTGAAACAAAATAATGATTATACTAATTTTAATCAAACTTAAAAGGTCCACCTCATTGCTTGTTGATATAAGCTATTCGCCTTTGAACAGGCCAGGGAAAAATCCTGGAGGCATTTTTATATTCTGACTTAACAATTATCTGATAATTACCCCATCATTACCTGCTGGTGAGAGATTCCATTCTAAATTCTTAACATTTCTGATACATGGCAGGCATGTTACTTCAGAAAGCCTACCTGGAAAGAGACTGAGAAGGCTGACTGGAGGTTTGTTGGTATCAATCGTTAGCTTGTGGCTTGCGATTTTTGAAGGCTGGCCTGGGAGACAGACTAATTTCAGGGGAAGTCTGAATTTACATTGGGTAACCCGAGGAATGCCTGGAAGAAAGAGAGAGAAATGCAGAGTCATGAATGTGTCCAATAATTTGATGCACAAAATATCTGTAGAAGTCTGAGTAACAACGTATCCTAGTATAAAAGTTTGCTGCCTGCCTATTTTCTCTGGCATAACTGAAGTAACTGCACATTATTATCACAATTCACGTTTTTATATTATTGTCAAGAAGCAGAAGGCAATGTCAGGGATCACTGTAAGTTATATAAATATCTAATCAGTATGCTGTACACCTGAAACTAATATAATATTGAATGTCAACCATAATTCAAAAGCTACAAAGATAAAGAGTACTAGCAGTGCAGAATTTTTTAAAAGTGAAAGGCAGAAATAAAATCTTAGAAAGACCACAGGCATTTGGTCTGCCTTTAATAGTAATACCATATTTTTAAAATCATTACACTTCAACACTGAATAGAGAGTTATAGTCAATTACTGAACTATCTTAAGCTAAGACCTTCAAATTCTAGCCCTAATTTAAGGCTCTCAGCTAAGATGAGCAATGAGTATAAAATTTATATCAGAAAGACTTTATATGAATATATTTCATAACATCTCTACCCCAACACACAAATTTTTTAACCTTTCGCTTTTTTTACTTACTGAAAATCAAATTACAATTAATTTGCAATAAATTACAACATGAAAGCAGAATTTGTTCTACTTAAGATCTAAAGTTCATGACATTTTATACAGTAATATTAAGAATATTACCTTCATATGATTCGATTTTTCTCAATCCATTTAACTTTACATATCAGTGAAGTGACATTTTTACAGGCTTCCACAGTCACTCAATTGTCAGATTTTGTTCTCTTTGTACACAGGCATATTTAAATAGGTAACTGAACAATATATAACAATGAAGACTTTTATGGCAGGATTAAAAGATTTTAAAAATCAAGTCCTTTCGATGTTTTTACAGAGAACAATACTAAAACCAAAGCAAAGTAGGCTCTCTACTTAAAAATCCAGAAAAGCAATTCTACAACTTTAGTTTTCTCTCTTTTTATCCTAGGGTTCTGTTTTTTTTTTGTTGTTTTTTTTTTTTTTAATATATTTTATTGTTTTTTTACAGAGAGGAAGAGAGAGGGATAGAAAGCTAGAAACATCGATGAGAGACATCGATCAGCTGCCTCTTGCACACCCCCTACTGGGGATATGCCTGCAACCAAGGTACATGCCCTTGACCGGAATCGAACCCAGGACCCTTCAGTCCCCAAGCCGACGCTCTATCCATTGAGCCAAACCGGTCTTGGCATAGGGTTCTGTTTTTGATGGGGTAAGAAAAAAGATAATATACAGCAGCCTGCATCTCAGGACCTGCTGTTCTCTGCTTGATGGGGCCACACATTCACCCCTTTATTGCCTTCCAGTGGAGTCAGCGAGCAACTTAGAAATAGTAAAGTAAGAGCAGTTGGGGTTTGGGGACATGGTTCCAAATTAGCAGCATATTTTGCTTAAGCCAGTTGGAGTTGAGTGGCTTACTCTACATCCAAGCTGGGACTATCCTTTTCAGTATTACTTGTTCAGTGGGATAGCAAGAGATCATCAGCAATGGAAACATGTTGATATATGAGGTCAATTAAAGACTTTTTCAGAGCATGGGGAGCATATTTGTCATTCTCCAACATAATCTATTATCCATCACATTTTACGTAGCTCATTTTTTGCTCATAACCAACAGATGTTTAATTCACTTCTGGAATCCTAGATGCAAAGTATAACTGTGGCTCTTCAGAAAGGTCCCAGGGTATTATATATCCTGACATTCTGTGAGATTTTAAAGGCATGTTTATTTGTACTTTGCAATGGCAAAAAAAAAAAATTCATCCTCACCCAAGGATATTTTTTCATTGTTTTTTAGAAAGAGCAGAAGGGAGGGAGGGGAGAAAGGAAAGGGAGGGAGGGAGGGAGGGAGGGAGGGAGGGAGGGAGGGAGGGAGGGAGGGAGGGAGGGAGATGTGAAAGAGACACATGGATGGGTTGCCTTCTGCATGCACTCCACCAGGCCCCTGGGATCAAACCTGCAGCCCAGGTAAATGCCCTTGACTGGGAATTGAACCCGCATCCCTTGGTGAGCAGGCCAAGACTCTAACTACTTAGCACACCAGGGCAATGGGCAATGGTAAAATGTTTTGACTCAAAATATTATGGTAGCATGATCTAAACTACTGCTTATGAATTTTTCCAATTTCATATATCCCACATATCTCCAAATTATGGAACTATACCTACTAATATATTTCCTGTACAATACATAAACTAAAGCCTCAAAACCTGAAACCTATCTTCATTTCCTTCATTTTTAATGAATAGTGGGGGGGGGGGATGCTTCACCTTCTGATAATTCCTTTTTTAATTTCTTTATTGATTAAGTTATTACATACATGTCCTCATCCCCCCATTAGCCTCCCCCTCCCCCACTCAATTCTATGCACAAAAATAAGCAATCTTCTATGTACTTGGAACCAAAGTCTGGGCTAATTATCAAACAAAATCTGGCTGTAAATGTGCTTCTATAACTGTAGCTCTGTTTCACTAGACCGGGTACTGATTGAATATGTGGTAAAAAAAAAAAAAAAAAAAAAAAAAAAAAAAATTTTAATCATGATCAACATCACTAGCCTTATGCTAATGAGCCTATATTTGAATATTGGTACTAAATCTCTAAGAACCCAGAGCTAAAGAAACTGGTGGTGTAGCCGAAACTGGTTTGGCTCAGTGGTAGAGTGTCGGTCTGCGGACTGAAAGGTCCCAGGTTCGATTCCAGTCAGGGACATGTACGTTGGTTGCGGGCACATCCCTGGTAGGGGGTGTGCAAGAGGCAGCTGGTTGATGTTTCTCTCATCGATGTTTTTAGCTCCCTATCTCTCTCCCTTCCTCTCTGTAAAAAATCAATAAAAATATATTTAAAATAGAAAGAAAGAAACTGGTGATGTATATATGTTTTCAGAAACTGGAACAAATGGTTATAAGCATGAATAAACCCAACAAGTTAAAATACATTATAACTCAGTTCACAGCCCAGTGAAGTCAGCTAATGATGGTATGTTGGGTCCAAGCCCCTCTGCCAGGGACTGGACCTCCTTGGATGCTGGGTATTTGACAGAAAAGCCATGAGAAGCTGTGGGTATATAAGAGAGTCTCTCTTGTAGCCCAAGCTCTGACAGGAGCTTTTAGACAAAGCAGTTCTTCAAAGTAAAGTCCCATACAGTCGCCACACACAGGCTAAATAACAATACATCTTTCCTACAAAGTAGCAGTAGGAGCTACACGGGAGCCATCTTTAGAACTACAGCCTCACTAAGCAGCTGCCTCCCAGCCCCCGTGCCTGCTACTCAGTAACATCCTTTAATATTAACTTAGACAAAAGAGGCTCATTGCCAAATAGTGGCCTCACTATTTTGGGTTATAGAAGGGCACATATGTGCAGCATACATACAGTAAGGTAAGTATGTCCTTGCTTCTTGCACCTGCATACAGTAACTTAGCCTTGAACACTCCTGATTAGGATTCCCATGCTCAGAGTGGCCTTGAATATCCTGCGCACCCTAGACAGGGTTCTTATACAGTGTCGCATATTTGGGCAACGGTCTACAATTGCTAAGATTTGTAGAACCCTCCAGAATTCCCTTTTTCTCTAGGAACTGTAAAACCTGTATCATGGGAAAACATTATTTTAGAAAATGATACTTAAAAATTTGATTATAAAATGATGGCACCTTGAAAAGTGGAAAACATTATTTGGAAAACATTATTTTAGAAAATGATACTTAAAAATTTGATTATAAAATGATGGCACCTTGAAAAGTTTTACCATTGCGGGGGAGATATAAAATCTGCCCAGCTGGCATGGCTCAGTAGTGACGATTCCACTCCCTGTCAGGGCACATGCCAGGGTTGCGGGTTCGATCCCAAGTGTGTAGAGTGCAGAGGGCAGCCAGTCAATGATTCTCTCTCATGATTGATGTTTCTATCTTTCTCTCCCTCTCCCTTCCTCTCTGAAATCATTAAAGATATATTTAAAAAGAAAATATTAGCTCTAACTGATTTGGCTCAGTGAATATTGTCGGCCTGCGGACTCAAGGGTCCCAGGTTCGATTCTGGTCAAGAGCATGTACCTTGGTTGTGGGCACACATTTCCAGTAGGGGATGTGCAGGAGGCAACTGAGCAATGTTTCTCTCCTATCGATGTTCCTAACTCTTTATCCTCTTTTTCTCTCTGTAAAAAAATCAATAAAATATATTTTAAAAAGAAAACACTAAATTCTTCAGAAACCAATTTAAAGAAACCATATCTTTTTTTTTTAAGTCACAATGCCAAAATTTTATATTATTTCTCATCAAATTAAAAACCAAACATTTCAAAATACAATCGCTAGTATTTAGTTTTGGGGTCTATCAGAGACACATTTCCATTGAGATTTACATTTTCTTGAGAATCTTGAAATGTAAATCTGGCTATAATTATTCTTCAGGCTACCATTGTACATAAGAACGTGGAGATATGTGTGAGTGTGCACATGTGTGCATCTATAATAAGGATTACATGTATTCAAAGACTTTCAATTAGCTTTCAGCTCAGTTGAAAGAGCCTAATTGGCCCTAACTTTGCCTACCGTCAGCGATATTTTCCCTATGTTGTTGGCAAACAGGTTTATTCAACTCAATTTTAAGCTGAGAGAAAAGAAAAATGTGGTCATTTATAACATTCAAAGTTTGGCCTGCTCATTCGTCAGACTGACTCTGTGCTGCAGTCTTTACCGAATATAATCGCCTCCCCTTCAAACACGTCCCTTGCTAGCCTGCTAGAGGGAACAGGCAGTTGCAACTACTTGGTACAATTAATCACAAAACTATTTAACACTGAGAAAGAAAAGTCACATCAAAACCACTCCTGATGGAAGTATTTTTCCAGGAAGAGAATTCTAACTACATCTGGCACACCCGAGAGCCCAGTATCACTGTCAAGAGGGAAGCCAAAATGCACTTTAAAAGGGGGGGGGGGGGGGGAGCATATATATCAAAGCGGAATAACTACGTGTATGCATTACACTTCCACAGGACGCCGGCAGCGCCCCTTCCAGGGGCCTGCTAGAACCATTCTCACTGCAAACAAGGCGCCCCGAGCAGTAGCCGTGTCTGGTGGCCAGGACTTCCTTGATCCCTTCCTGTTATGTCTGGCGACGTCCTGTGCTCTCTCTGCAGCCCCGCTACGCCTCCCCTGTCATGTAACCAAATGCAGAAATAATGGAGCCTAACTCTTGTGGGACAACATAAAACCTCGTGTGCTTCCCTCTTTTCCATGAGTGAAAGCAAGACTGCTTATCTGCATGGCAGCCCGCACAGCCAGGCCAGTGAGGCGGACCGTCTTTGAAACCTGAAGCCCTGTGTGCCCAGTGAGAGCTCAGGGGCGGCCTTTACTAGTTGCTCGCCTGCTGGCTGAAGCTGGGTGTTTCAACGAGACTCCCCGAAGCTTAATTATAATTTTAAAATATGTCATGAGATTATGACAACCAGCTTTCGCTTTGTACTGAAATACTCACATTTCCATAGATTGTGATCTTTCCCTCTAATGGTTGGGACTGAATTTACAGTAAGAGGGAATAAATTACTTTCAGTGATAGCCTTAACTGGTTTTTTTTTAACCTAAAACGAATCATTTCAATAATAATATGAATATGATATTTTAACAAAAGTTAGTGCAAATTTTATCAGCTATGTGCAATCTTGCAAAGTAAAATATAAATATTATTTGTTAATAATAGTTTTTAATAACCCAAATTCTAATTTGACTAGTTTGCTTTATGTTATTAAGCTAATCACATACTTCTGTTAAAATATTTCTCATGTAAGTGCATTTTCACCTTCCAAATACTATGCAACCAAGGTTGTTGGCATCACCAAAACTTTGAGTAAATACTGCCATTATTTTTAAGTATTTTATATATTTATTATTAATGAATTAACATTGTTATCTAATATTTACCTTAAAATAGCTAATATGAAGATAAACCACCAAATAAAGTCTGTGTCTAGGAGGGAAATAATCAAAGTAGAAGATTCTTTCTTTTTAAATATATACTTTTAATTATTTTTAATATATATTTAGTTATTTCAGAGAGGGAAAGGATGAGAGAGAGATAGAAACATCAATGATGAAGAGAGAATCATTGATTGGCTGCCCACAAACCGGGCATGTGTCCTTAACTGGAATCGAACCCAGAACCCTTCAGTCCATAGGTTGACACTCTATCCACTGAGCCAAATCAGCTAGGGCAGAAGATTCTCTTATAGTGCCTGTCATTTATCCTAATATTGTATAATTCAAAGGTAAGTGCTTGAACCTGTCTGTCAAAGAGCTCAAAATCCAGTAGGGCATTCAAAGGAACAAACTTAATGAAATTCACATTATAGTCAGTTTTACAGTAGACTCATAAACAAAGGTTTGGAGGCATACAAAATGGGTTAATAATTCACACCGACCCGGACAAGTTCAAGGGGTCAGACCCGGGATGGCATTCCCCCATAAATTCTAAACAAGACAACGAATAGGCCCACAGAAGAGCACTCCTGGCATGCTGACCAGAGACAGAGTGGGTTTGTTTGGGCGCAAGAAAACAGACCATTTAGAACTCTGTGGCAAACACCTTGTGTCTTTTACTATTTCTTCATTTTAGTAAAATACGATAACAGAGCATACAGATAAATCACCAGTCACTTGAAGAAATCACTTGTCAATGACGTGATTTCTGCTTTAAGAGTCATGGAGCTTCATTCTTGCTCATGACTCTGCTGAATGACAGGTCTCTATAGGAGGAAACATGTATACTCTTCAGAGTTAGATCAAGGAAATGAATCATCCTTAAAGAGGTTTCTACAGTTAAAACAGCGTCCATAGAATGAAATACTGCCATTTGCAACACCACCAATGGACCTTGAGAATATTATGCTAAGTGAAATAAGTCAGTCAGAAAAGACGAAGAACTATATGATTTCACTCATGCGTGGGATTTAAGACTAAAACTCGTGGACACAAACAGCAGTTGTCAGAAGGAAGGGGGTCAGGGTAAATGGGGTCCTCATATATGGTGACAGGAGAAGATGTGAGTTTGGGTGGTGGGCACACAGTGCAATATGCAGGTCCTATACTATAGACACCACACCTGAAACCTGTATGATTATATTAACCAATGTCACCCCCCAAAAAAAATTTAAAACAACAGCAGTTTATAAAAACGGTTCATTCACATTATAATATCAACTCAATTCACTGACCACATTTCAATTCAGAAATATATTTCGTTCTAAATCATTTTTCTTACCCACCTTCAGGACTTCGATCTATCCATCAGAGGCGATGCAGAAAGGGTTAGGGGAGAAAGAATGCAACAAATTACGTATGGTAAAATTATAGCACAAATTTAATACATATCTGCTTAAAAATTTAATACAACAAATTAATTTTTTTTAAGATTCTCACTGATGATTTAAATTGCTCTCCAATAAAAATGAGTTAAGGTTAATCCAAAATTGATGAGTAAAACATGAATAAATGAAATCTAACAATATATCTGCACTTCCATTCTCAGAAGTCCATGAGGGTGTGCTTTTCGAGTGCAAAAGTAGTAGTAAAAAGAAAGATATACGATATAGCCAAACCACAAACCAAGCCAAGTATGTAAATGGCAATAAGAGCATTAAATGCATTGTTGGGAAAACAGTTGCATGAAAGACCAAATACATTATCATAATAATATTTCCAGTTAGTCTTGCTTATATTATCATTTCAGCCAGTAGATACCACTATGCTGTAATGTCTTCGGATTAGTGGGAGCTTGTCTTGCTATTCTTTTACTTCTACAGACTTTTTTTACTTTAATTTCTAATATACTTTCAACCAATTAATGCTACGCTCTTTTGTTTAGCAATAATTTATAGTTTTTTAAATTCTGTCTATAGAAAAGCATAATAGCTAAAAATGGTACATGCAACAATAAGCTCACAGACTTATTTTACAACTTTATAATATATTTTTAAGCATTTTGTCTACTTTGAAAATGTATTAAAGTTATAAAATCAACTCAGAGCATGAAATTGTCAATGCATAAGCCTGAAAATTCCCGTAGGCAAAATAAAAACTACAATAACTATTAAAAACACTGCTAATTATTTTTTTAAAAAGTGGGCATCAGTAGAAAGAAAAAAACTAAGAAAACTGTATAGAAATATTTTTAAAATGTAACATTGCTGAAATAGCTTATTATCAGTTATACGACATTTAACCGTATTTTTTGCTAAATGACAAAAAGCAATGATGAATTCTCTTCTACCAATCAAATGTCAAACTGGTACTATGAGAAATTAACTATACAGGAAAAAATATATAAAATTGATTGACTCAATTAAATTAAAACATAATAATTGAATCTCAACTGGGCTAAAGATAATCTTTTCCCCTTTTTTCCCAACTTTATTGAGATATTATTGACATATGTAAGTTTAAGGTACACAATGTGATGAGTTGATACACATATATATTGCAAAAAGATTACTACTATAAAATTAGTTAATATCTTCTTCTCGTCATATAACTATCATTTTTTTGGTGACAACATCTGAGATCTACTCTCTTAGCAACTTTCAAGCCTATCATACAGTACTGTATATTAGTCATCACACTATACATTTAGACAACCCCCCTCCCCTGCCCTGAACTTACTCATTCTAGAAGTATGAATCCTTTGACTAACATCTTCCCCTTTTACACACATCACCCGACCTTTGGCAACCATCATTTCATTAAGATAAATTTTTTAATCTAAAAAGAGGTTGTTGTTTTCAAATACAGATCAAATTATACTAGGTCTGCTCTTAAACTGACTAAAGGGTAATTAGTCACTAAAACAATATCTAAAACTTGCCGAAACCGGTTTGGCTCAGTGGTAGAGCGTCGGTCTGTGGACTGAAGGGTCCCGGGGTTCAATTCCGGTCAAGGGCATGTACCTTGGTTGCGGGCACATCCCCAGTAGGGGGTGTGCAGGAGGCAGCTGGTTGATGTTTCTCTCTCATCAACATTTCTAGCTCTCTATCTCTCTCCCTTCTTCTCTGTAAAAAATCAATAAAATATATTTTTTTAAAAACAAAAAAACAATATCTAAAACTGAATATTCATCTAATGTTAGACTAACCCATAATAGTCTTTCATTTATTCAGGTTAGGTTTTTCTCTTTATTTCAAATAGATAAAGTATGACTATATATCATTCTCCTAATGAGAGTAAAAGTACATCATATTTACTATTAACTGAAAAAATAAAACCAAACATTATGTAATCCACTAAATAGACTTATCACTAATTATTCATAATACATTAACGTAAGTTGGACATACAATTTTATTTAACACTAGAAAAGAGTATTTTTTATTTAATAGTATTTTACAACGTGTTTTCCCATCTTACCACTTAAACATTTCCCTCATAACTGCACGTGCAAAGGAGTGATTAATCCTGTTTACCTGTTGGTCTGGCATAAGAAACAACAGCATTTCCTTCCAATTCAGGGGGTGCATAACTTCCTTTCAGAAAAACAGAGAAGGCCACTGTCCTAGTCATCTCTGGTGCTGTAAGCAATGTGAAAGCAATGGAAGTTATATAATTATGGACAGTGATTGTTAACAACCGCTCAAATTAGGCCTATATTGTAAGCCAGCTACTGTCCTAAGCACTTCACATGGATTAATTCACTTAATCCTCACAATAACTCTATAAAGGCGGGTGATATTATTGTCCCCATTCCCTTCTTTTTTGTTATTGTTATTGGGGGCGGTGGGGAGGAGCATGAAGAAGGAAACTGGCTGGAGAGAGTAAGAGGCTTGCCCAAAGTCATGTAGCTAAGACACAGCTGGGAGCTGACTTCAGAGCAAGGTAGCCGGACACTCCGCACTACTGCTTCTCTCTGCTCAGTGAGCAGGCAGCATGGACAGGACAAGGGCACAGAAGGGCAGGAGACGGTGGGCGTGGGAACAGCACTTTATCAGGACAAGACTGCAGGGGAAATCCAAGGAGGGGACTGGACTTGATGGAACTACAACTATAGACAGCAGATGGCACATAGCCTTCTGTAATCACCCATTTGATCTCCAACCTGCGTTAAAAAGCCCTAGCAGGTTTGTAACTGGAAAAATAAATTGTTTAGAATGTGTTTTTAAAAGATAAATTGAAAGTATTATAAAAATTTAGAAAATAGCCCAGCCGGTGTAGCTCAGTGGTTGAACATATGAACCAGAAGGTCACAGGTTCGATTCCTGGTCAGGGCACATGCCCAGGCTGTGGGCTCAAACCCCAGTGGGGGGCATGCAAGAGGCAGCGAACCAATGATTTAATGATTCTTTCTCATCATTGATGTTTCTACTTCCCCCTTCTTCTCTGAAATCAATTTTTAAATTTTAAATTAGAAAATAAAATGAGAAACCAATTGTTAGGTATCACACCCAAGGCTACTTCGGCCATTCAACCATTCCTTCACTCATTCAATGAATAATTTGCTGAGTTCCCACTATCTAACAGACATTCAGGTAAGAGCTGGTTATACAAAGGCAAAAAAGAGAGAGATGTCCTTGACTTCGTGAATAAGACTTAGGTTCCCCAGCTAAATTGTGGCAGTAAACAAAGAAAGATAATTCAGAAATCGCTTTAACAGAATCAGTGATAACTCAGATGTAAGTGGGAGGGGAAAAGAGATTCTATGCCGAGTAAGACCGGCTCTACTTTAGTCATTATTGCAGATACCTTACATAGATTCATTTTTTTTTTTTCATTAAATCCTCAAGACAGCCCTACAAGAAAGACATCATAATCCCTTTCTGGAGATTAAAAAAAACGGAGGCTTCAAGTAATTACTAAGGTAGTTTGCCCAAGGTTACACATAGAGTGAGAGTCAGGGCCAGGATTCAAATTCCGGCCAGACTCCAAAGTCAATATTCTTTCTTCAAACATTACTGATTCAATAAATAGCTCACTAGAGAAACACTAATAAAGAAAGCCTTCCAAATTACAGTGTTTAAGTACAATTACAGGTCCACCTAGTTAAGGAAAGCCCTTGGAAATCTGTAATTACTTCAGACTCAACAACCATTCATTGAATGTCCAATGCTTGATGCATAGAGGGAAAACATCGTAAGCCAAACAACACAAGCATTAATTTCAGGAAGATACCATTCTCACGATTCATATAAGAAATATATCCATGCTGAAACCGGTTTGCCTCAGTGGATAGAGCATCGGCCTGGGGACTGAAGGGTCTCGGGTTTGATTCTGGTCAAGAGCATGTACCTTGGTTGCGGGCACATCCCCAGTAGGGGGTGTGCAGGAGGCAGCTGATCGATGTTTCTCTCTCATCAATGCTTCTAACTCTCTATCCTTTTCCCTTCCTCTCTGTAAAAAATATATATTTTTTAAAAGAAATATATCCATGAAGTGGACACACTAATTAAAAAAAAGACAACCTAAAACTAGGATAGACTTTAAGCCAAAACCAAGCACTCACCGGTAAATTCCAAAGTGAATTGGTCACGTGACAATACCAAAGGTGGCTGCACATAGACTGATAATTTGGCTTTTTGCAATGCCACTCGATTCTGGAGTGTGACCTAAGGAAATAGAATTGTTAGTAACTAAAAATTATATTCTAACCAAATTAATAAAATATCACAACTACTTAAAAATCACTATAAGTAATTAGGAAACATCATTTGGGGGAAAAAGAGAGAAGCTACAAAACATAACATGTAACGTAAGTGGTAGATTAAAGGATCCTACTCAGAGACTGTCCTTGGAGTTATACTTTCCTCCAAAGACACAAGAAAAGCCAAAAAGCACATGAAAAAATGCTCAGTATCTTTAACCGCTACAAAATACAAATTCAAACCACAATGAGCTACTACTACACAGCCACTAGAATACTAGAATCAAAAGGTCAGTGGGAGTGGATAAAATAGGTGTTAGAAAGAACGTGGAGAAATTAGAACCCTTATATATTCTGATAAGAATGTAAAATAGTACAGTCACACACAAAGTCTAACAGTTTCTTTAAAAATTAAACATAAATTTACCATACAATCTCACAATTCCATGCCAAGAGAAATGAAAACATATGTTCATGCAAAAACATGTACACAAAGGTTCAAACCAGCATTAATCATAATAGCCAAAAGTAGAAACCACTCAAATGTCCATCAACTGGTGACTGGATAAACAAATATAATATATCCATACAATGAAATACTAATCGGTAATAAAAAGAAATGAAGTGCTGATATATGCTACAACATGGACAAACCTTAAAAGTAGTAAGCCTCTAAGTAAAAGGAGCTCGACACAAAGAAACACATATTGTATGATTTTGCTTCTATGAAATGTCCAGAATAGGCAAATCTATAAGGACATAGACTTGCCGTCGCTGAGGGATGGAGAGGGGTTATGAGGGAAAAGTGGGAGAGAAGGGAGCAGAAAGTGACAGCTAATAGGAATGAGGCCATTTTTAAGGGGAATGGAAATGTTTTCAAATTAAATTATGGTGATAGTTCAACAACTCTACAAATATGCTAAAAAATCACTGAATTATGTACTTTTAATAAGTAAATTGTATAGTATTTAAATTACATCTCAATAAAGCTATTAAAAATGTTCTACCAGCTGAAACCGGTTTGGCTCAGTGGTAGAGCGTTGGTCTGCGGTCTGAAGGGTCCCAGGTTCGATTCCTGTCAAGACCATTAACATTAGTTGCGGGCACATCCCCGGTAGGGGGTGTGCAAGAGGCAGCTGGTTGATGCTTCTCTCTCATTGATCTTTCTAGCTCTCTATCTCTCTCCCTTCCTCTCTGTAAAATATCAATAAAATATATTTTAAAAATAAACAAATAAAAATGTTCTACCATTATCCACGTGATTACTTTGTAAGTTATATAAATGCCTAATCACTGTGCAAAACATCTGAAACTAATATATTATATTTCAACTATAATTAAAAACTTTTTCTCATTTTAATTAATTTTTCTAATTTTTTAACTTAAAAATGTCCTATCAAAAGCAAAAAAAAAAAAAAAGAAAAAAAAAAGAAAGTATCTGCCCTCATGGCTGATAATTACATCATGAAATATTATATGTGTTCATTCTTCTTTTCATATAGATGTGGCATCATGAATTATTTATCTTATCCAGTATCAGTATATTACATTGTACATAAGTCAATTATTCTCTAAAGATTTCCTTACTGCCGAAACCGGTTTGGCTCAGTGGATATGGCCTGCAGACTGACAGGTCCCGGGTTCGATTCCGGTCAAGGACATGTTCCTTGGTTGTGGGCACATCCCCAGTAGGGGGTGTGCAAGAGGCAGCTGATCGATGTTTCTCTCTCATCGATGTTTCTAACTCTCTATCCCTCTCTCTCTTCCACTCTGTAAAAAATCAATAAAATATATCTTAAAAAATAAAAATAATAAAATAAAGATTTCCTTAGTTTGCCCAGCCAGTGTAGCTCAGTGTCCTTTCCCAACCAATGAGAAGGGGCATCATTTTCACGCTGTCAAAGAAAAAGCTTAATGATCTGCCTTCCAATGGGCATCATATCCCCTAAATGGCCCAGTCTCTTCCACTAATCTCTCCTGGATGAGTGCACATGGCTGGTAAGACAGACTTACACAGTAGACCTGGGTATCTATTGCTCTTCAGGTGACACCTAGTTTAGCCAGAGCTGAGGAGCATCCTCTACCTCACACCTTTGCTATGGGGCAGTTCAGTCTAGTTACTAGGCACTAGTATATGAGACAGATACATTTCATTATTAACTGCCATAATGAAAGGGCTTACTTATTTTTAAGAAAAGTAGTTCTGAAATTTCTCTTAAATAAAAAGCATGTATCACCTATTCCTTAATTACATATACATACATACAAATATATAATAGCGAAACCATATAGCGATATACAACTGGCCCACAAACATTATATATATATATATATATATATACTAGAGGCCCAGTGCACGGATTCATGCACCAGTGGGGTCCCTTGGCCTGGCCTGTGCCTCTCACAATCCGGGACCCCTTGGGAGATGTCAGAACACTTGTGCACATATTCGGCCTGATCCCTGCAGGCCAGGTTGAGGGACCCCAATGGTACATGAATCCATGTACCTGGCCTAGTATGCATAGCAGATCTTTGGTTAATCTCTTCCCACCTTCCCCCTCCCCCCTTCTCTTTGAGATGCATCAATTTGTTCCATGTTTCCATCACTGTTTATTGAGTGTCTGCCCCCTGGTGGTCAGTATGCATCATAGCTATCAGTTGAATGGCCAAACAGTCACTTGGGCTTTTATGTATATAAAATTTAGTAAATATCTTTAATTAATTTTAAACAATGTGGATATTTGTACAACTTAAAAATAAGTCAATCATGAAATTTTGACTTGCACAGAAAATTTTTTAAAAGACAACTTTTGATGCAGATAAGTACAATAAACACAGCAAATGAACAATGGACCCTCAGTTGTTACTTTATCAGCCCTGGGAATACATGAGGGGAATCTGCATCCCGCGAACAAAGCTTCCTCAGTGACGTCTGACCATTGTAAACCTACTGCCTTTTTAGTCAAACCCTGACGGCAATTATGGGAAGAAACCAGATATGCACCCCAGACAACATTCTTTCAAAGAGCTATTCCCCTGGACAAATGGAACACATTTTAAATGTTTTCTATTAATAATAACACAATGCTAGCCTATACATACCTTTTTTAATCACATTGATAACCATTAGCAGCTTTCTATATTCATAGAAGCATGATAATAAATTATTTATGTGCATGATCTTATTTATTATTTACAACATGGTGAAAGAGCTACTATTACTATATGCCATTTTATAGAAAAGAAAACTGTGGCTCAGAGAGGCTAAATAATTCGCCCAGGGCCATTCTGTTTGTAAGTGGAGGAGCCACAGTTTAACTTCTGGCTGCCAGAATTCTTAACCAACTGGGGTTAAGTCTCAAAACAACTCTGCACGTGAACAAGTGCCCCCATTTTGCAATTTAAAGATAGAACTTCAGAGAAGCTAAGTGCGTGCTCAAGACCATCAGGCCAGTATGTGCAAGAGAGCTGAAAACTCGGACATGAACAACCTTGGAAGTAGCCATGGGCCGTGTGTAAGAGAGCAGACACACTGACTGCTGCCCTGGCCACAGGAACTCAGACAAAAGTTACCCGGTTTTTCATTTGCTTTAGAGGCACAACCGGGAGAGCTCGCCTACCGGGACTTACAGAACCCCGACAATGGTGAGGCCCTTTCCAAAGCGAATCAAGGGGATGTGGGACGAAAATAACTACAGGAACAAAGAGGAGCTGTGTGTGAGCCAAAAAAAAGAGTTAAAGACTTGGCTAGATCGTAAACTTCATATTTTAAGAGAAAAATAATTATAGAATATTAAGGGGAAAGTATAAAACATTAATACAAGAATTTTCCATGCTCTTTTCTGCTCCTAACAAAATGAAATATGATCCTCAGGAAACAGAACACTGAATTTTTATCCTCGGTGTGTAACCGGGACTCCAAAGGCCAGGTCTGAGCAAACCACTCTCCCATCAGGCACACATACTCAAGGTAGCCACATCTTCGCTCACGTGGAACGGATGGAAACATTTTCTCAATTAACAGGATTTATTGTGATGGAAACGTGCATGCTTATATATCTTGGCTGCTGTTGTTATAAGAGGCTAGAAGGGGAGATTTATAGCAGAAATGTGTATAGGAACTGTCAGAGCGAATCAGGAAGGCATTGTGTCTGCTGCGGAAGTCCGGCTGACTGTGTGCAGCCCTGTGTGGTGCCTTCTTTCTCCTGCTCTGACAGTGTCAACAAGGACCGTTAGGAATGGCTTGGTTGCTCTCAAACACAGTAACCACGCCAGGGAAGGAGACTTTCCCGGTAGTGTCACGTCAGCATTTGGGGGTGGCTATTCCACCTGGTAGCCTAAGAGCGGCCTGGGACAGAAAGGTGTGTTTCCTTACAGCCATCAGCAGTAGCTGGGGGGAAATTAGCATGAACAATGTTATCTGGTTGAGGTACAAGACTTTTCTGCGATTTATAGTGTGTGCCTGAGTTATTATGTGTATGTGTCTGAACAGTATCAGTAGATAGACATGAAAAGGGTTTCCCCACACAAGTCTATAGATCATTCCTGGAACTCTGAAGGGTTTCTTTTTTCTTTAAGTGTTTGATTTCTTGCCACTAATGCTTTTCCAGACTCAGAAGTATTAATGAGATAGAGCCTTTGATTGAGTAGGGGAGGGAGACTGGGGAAAGACCACCCTTGTTTCCAGTGGCAAGAATCCAAAAAAATTAGCTTAGGAAACTGTTAAAAGATTGGGCTCCCTTCAACTTCTACCACAGAGCCCCACACTAGGGCCACCCGCTGGGCCCAGTGTAAGCGAACACAATTGGTAGAGCCTGGTACCCTGTCAAGCTCCTCCAAGGACAGCAACCCATAATCTAAGAAAATATGAGGCCCTGTCCAAGTTTTGACTGAGCGAATCGCCAAGATCCACAACTTTCCCTGTCTCCGAGCTCTGGGCAGTGATAAATATTGTCAGCTTAATAATGTGCTGACTGATTACCACACTTTAATCTAAATGCCTTAAGAGGGTTCTACATTTGACTCCTAGTCTAAAATTCTACAATGACGGGACTGAAAATTTTAACCAAAACCACATCCTTCTTATTCTATTTTTTCAGGACTATCAATTTGTCACTACTCTACTTTGTGGCTTCTTCATTTAATATTTTCTTGCTATAAATACACCCCTTTAAAGCTAATATTATGGCAGATGGATGGCTGGGAATTCTTTTCAAACACATATATAATCATTCCTAGAAGAAAGCTATTATTACCATGCACATAATTCCTTAATATATATATGATGAGTCAATCAACTGGTTGGTCTATGTGATGACACAATTCCTTTAGCATATTCAAAATGCTAATTGTTTCTAGAAAAAAAAGACCCTGGATCATACAACACATTTAAATAATGGTAGGAATAAGTCATAACAATTGTTTCTATTATGTACATATTGCTATGAATGCAATTATCAGTTTCATATTTGTAGAAAGCAATGAAGGTTAGCAATTCACCACCCAAGGCTGAGGAAAGCATACAAATTCCAAGTGTTTGCTTGACATTTCCATTGGCTGTTAAAGGGTGACAAACGTGATGAAATGTGTACTATCGTATGCACATTATAGTCTAGAACCATTGTACAATACCTTCACTGTGACTGAAGGGACATGGTCAGTTCCCACTTCAACATCAGGAGCTTGCTGTGAAAACATGAAGAAAGGAAGGAAACAATGGTTTCAATATTACACGCCAATACACACTTCTCACCACCGAAATCGGAAACCAACTGCAAAGAAGTCCTCACTCCGATGACAGACTAGAAGAGTCCATGTGACTTTTCAGATGTCTTCATCTAGAAAGTCATCAGCTAATATTCAAACACCCCCCCACACACACACCGCCCTCAACAAGAAAAACCACAGGCCTTATTACCAAGCTCTATTGCCAAATTTACTTGAATTTTGAAACTAATTAATTCTATTAACTCGTTCTTTATATTACACAGAAGACGACCTCCTTGCATTTTCCAGATAAACATTATGCCGTTCTTTTAGGCCCTTTTATTTTTTAACTTCCAAAAGTACTCTATTCTTATTAGTAATATGAATATGTATTCATGACATATAACTAATAATAAAAAGATTGAGTGGCCTTACACCTAGAAAATAAAAGTATGAGCATCAGCCCAGGCTTACCTGGTTCTACTTCTTAAGAATTTCAGAGTATTGTATAATAGAGCAAACATTTTCTTATAATTTATAACATTTATAGGTATTTTCTTTTTCAGAATGAAAGATTGAGAAAGAAAAATTCTCACTCTGTGACAGGATAAAACAGAGGGAGGACATATTTTTTAGTAATACTCATATAAATTCCTGGGGAACAATTAAGGTCCTAAATCTGTATCCAACCAATGAATAGATCAACTGTACTTTAACTTAACCTACTTGGAATCTTTTCACTAAGAAAAACTAAGCCACATCTAAGTCATGGGGACTGCTATGATATAATGGGCATCAGCATAATTAAGAGTTGGAGATTCATATTATATTTATGACTCCATAAAAACCATATATAAACTCAAATCCAACTCTTCAGTCAAGAAGATAGGAGAGCAATGCTTGCCGCCTCTATAAAAGATCCCATTCTAATATAAATTATATTATGTTTTCAGATGTGTACTTTCATATTAATGATTTAAAATAAAATATTAAGCCAGGCTTTTGGGGAGAGCATTACTTAAAACCCAGGAAATGTTTTACAGTTAGCTGTCTAAGTGTCTAGAAAAGAAACAAACATCTCCTGTTTCCAGCTCTTTTCAACCCATTGTCTGAACACCTCAGCACTTCGAGTCACCCTCTGGGAAATAAGACTACAGTCAGAGAGAAATGGCTTCACAAAGACACCACAGCACCACAGCCACATAAATCGTTGGGCTAACGTTTTCCAATGGAATGAATACGATACTCTCAAGAATCTCTTAGGAAGAAAAAAAAGAATGAGACAAGGAAAATGAAGCTGAAAGAGACACCCAGTTAAAAGGAAACAGCACTCCAGGTTGCCAACAGGGAAATATCCATTACAATCTAGTGCTAGTTCCTAAAGCCTTTTCCTTCAAAGATCAAAAGTTGCCAAAGAACAGAGAGGGAATTCCACATTCCAAATAGCCTATGTTTAAGAAAACCTAAAAAAAAAAAAAAAAAAATTATATAAGTTACCCAAAGGAAAAAAAGAATCATTCCCAAGGCAAGAAAATGTGTGTACATTTGTCAGCTAACTAAGCAGAAGTGTTCCACCAGACTACACCCTTCAGGTAGAGTGAGGAGTGGTGTGTGCTGGACGGCTGATGTTAGAACAGTGCCTCCACTATGTGACCAGCTGGGTGAATGTTTCTTTCATATGGAGTCCTATTTTTTTTTTAAGTGTACCCAATTTACTATACTATAGCAATGTTAATGTGATTTCTATCACAACCTGGGTTGGCTGTTATACTAAAACTAATCTCGGAAAACTTATGACAACTACTGACTCTATAATGCTCTGGTACCTAGATATTAAAGTCATTACCTAGGCTAAATTATATAATTACTAGAGGCCTGATGCACAAAATTCATGCAAGAGTAGGCCTTCCTTCCCCTGGCAGCAGGCACCGGCTTCCCTCTGGCACCCGGGACCCGGCCTTCCCTCACAGCCTCGGCTTTGTCCAAAAGGTCATCTGGAAGAATGTCCAGTCTAATTAGCATATTACTGCTTTTATTATTATAGATATGACACAAATACAGTAAAACCAGTAAATTCGATCACTGTCTAAATTGATCAGCTTTTGGTATGGACACATAAAAACCTAATAGATTTTGCCCAAACAGGAGGCAGTGAGACATAACCAGTCAGAATCTAACAAGCGCTTACAGAAGACTAAACAAGGAGATGGGTAACATAACCAAGGACAGTCCCGCTCATCCTTCGTTTCTCAGCTTTTTTCATTCACTCAGAGAGCAAGTAACCACTGAGCACCCATATAAGATAGTGCTGTCTCCTTTTAACTAGGTGTCTCTTTCAGCTTCATTTTCCTTGTCTCATTCTTTTTTTCCTTCCTAAGAGATACTTGAGAGTATTGTATTCATTCCATGGGAAAACATTAGCCCAATGATTTATGTGGTGTGGTGTCTTTGCGAAGCCATTTCTCTCTGACTGTAGTCTTATTTCCCAGAGGGTGACTTGTAGCAGTGAACAACACAAGTAGTGAAACATAGATGGTGGCGATAGTGGTGGTGGTGGTGGTGGTGGTGGTGGTGATTATAATGTTGGAAGATCTAAAATGTAATTTTATGATGATGCTGCTGGCTAATTATCATAACAATTCAACAAAGGAGATTCTATTATTTTTCTCATTTTACAGATGAGAAAATTGAGATAAAAATGAAATAACTTGCCCTGGATCACACAGACAAAAAAATGTGTGTGGGGGTGGGGAGAAGAGATGTGAGAAAATAATTCCTGGCCCAACTGTTTACTCTTAAACTATACACAGATACCCCATCACAACCACCATAATGTATTAAAGATTGTAAATTATCAAACCCTGAGCTAGATCTTTCATAAACATTATTTCATTGAACCTTCAACAAACATCTTGCGGGGTCAATATTATCCATCTGGATTAGAATTAAAGTTAAACTTTAAAAAAGGTAGATTTGGAATAATAGTGAGAACTCCTTCTACTGTTCCCTTCCCCTTTTACAGACAGATATCTGCCTAGAAACTCCTTATTGCTAAAGATGGCTAAAGATGTTTATTTCCAGAAAATAACAAAGATTATAAGTTGTTGTCCTCCTAAAAGGTTCTATTTGAAGGCCTATCATTTAAGCCAATAAATTTGGATCCTAATGTAGCAGAGTCCCCACTATCACCAAACCTTTCAACTTCTGCAAAGACACCTACAGATACGGAGTCAAAGTTAGGAGAAACCATGGCAGAAATTTTCAAGTCATCTTCTCTCTCAGTCATGGGCCAAACACCTATAATTTGAAAAAGAAAGAAAGAAAGAAATTCTTTTAAAAAGATATTTAATCATAGAGTAAAACCTGCTTTATAGTTTTTAAGGGTTATCTATATACCATATATCCAAAACAACCATAAACATACACACTGAAGAAACGAATGCATTAGAGAATTAGAAGCTTGATGCTAATTCTTCCCCTCTACAATATTTTAAGGAAAAAAATCTGTCTCTTTCTCCAAAGATAGTAGCTAAGAAGTGACCCAATGCCTAACCAGTATTGGGAATTTCAATGCTTTCTTCTTCACTTCTGGTGGAAGCCTACATGAGTGCAACCCTTTTGAAGGTAAGTTGGCTTGAAAGTAACTACTTTTGAAGGTAAGTAATCCCACTGCTTGGGAGAAGAATTGTTAGGTGACAGGACCCGTACGTTTTGATAGTTATTACCAACTCACCGACATGCCCAAGGAAGTTCTATGCTGCTGGTGCTTATTAAAAACAAAACAACCTAAAGCTCTATATTTCTATCAATAGGGAAATAGTTAAGTAAATTATGGCATATTCATCTTGTGCAATGGTCTAAACCCCAGAGCTATAAGTAAGAGTGCTATCTATCTTTATATACTGATAAGAAAATAACTCCAAGATACCCCTATTAGTAAAATATAAGATGTAGCACAGTGTTTATATGCATTTGAAAAATAAAAATCACAAAAACATGAACATTTTCCTAAAGAATACACAACACACTTGATAAAGGTTACCTTTCATTGCGTGAAATAGAACCTGGGGTTTTACCCTTTTGGTACTGTTTGAATTCTTTTCACCATATTCATATTATTTTCACAACTTAAATTTCACTATTTAAAAAAAGTTTATAGTGTATAATAAGATATTATGAACAAGTGACAGAGATCCTAAACAAGCAAGGAACATAGTTAATACTTACACAATGTGTGTGTGTGTGTGTATGTGTGTGTGTGTGTGTGTGTGTGTATGCACACATGTATGTGAAACACTGCTGGCTGCCCACCTACCACCCACCTCCATGCCTCCTTCGTTACCAGAGTCCTGATTCTGTTGGCACATTCACCTTCACCTCAAAGTCACTGGGTTGATCAAATCCAATTATGTTGACCTCATTCCCCTGACTGTTGGTTGTTTTAGGCATGAGCATGGTGCTTAATCCTGGTAGATGTGATGCAAGAAAAGTTGGGTGAAATGGTGTTTGCACATGTGCCTGGGACTGCAGAATTCGCCAGGGACCCTGAGAGGAACACCCCACACACGCTGAGGGGGGCCGACTGGACAGATGGAGAGCCCTGGACACAGCCGCATGAACGATCGGTGGCTGGCAAACAGAAGACCTGCCTCTGCTTCCAGCAGGCACTCCCATCAGCACGGCAATATTTGGAATTGGCATTCCCGTGACTTAAAATACAGAAAGCGGCTCATCGCCCAGCCAATAGCCATCCTTCGAGAACCCAATTTTATTCCAGGAAACAAAACCTTAAATTCCCAGCCTCTCCCGCAGCCTGGAGAGGCCAGTGAGAGGAGAAGAGAGGCTGCTCAGGGCGGGGTTCCCAGGAAGGACCCCCCTGGGTTGACTAGGCCACAGACATGAGGGCAGCAGTTCCAGAAGCCACCCTGCCCCAGCAGAGACCCTGGGAGGGGAGGAAGCAGAGTCCCTGCCAGACTGACCCTGGTCTGCCCTCGCCACACTGCCTTCCCAGGAAGTAAACAAGCCGCCTGATTAAGTCACTGTGCCTGGGCACTCTGTTACACGCAGCCACACTCAGCCAAACAGCACAACCCAACAAGGCCAAGTGCAACCGTTCCTAGGACTCAGTGGCACGCAGCTTGGGTATCCTGGACCTACTTCCTCCGGATGCAGACTTTCCCTTAGGGGCTTGCGGCTCTCCCCCCGCCTGAAGGCACACTGTGTGGAAGCCTATCTCACTACCCCACCCATTCCTCCAGACTCGCCCAAGCAGAGCATGACCAACTGTCTAAATCAGTGGTCCGTAAACTGCGGCTTGCGAGCCACATGCGGCTCTTTGGCCTCTTGAGTGTGGCTCTTCCACAAAATACCACGACCTGGGCAAGTCTATTTTGAAGGAGTGGCATTAGAAGAAGTTTAAAAAATTTGGCTCTCAAAAGAAATTTCAATTGTTGTACTGTTGATATTTGGCTCTGTGGACTAATGAGTTTGCTGACCACTGGTCTAAATCATAGGGAAGCCCCATCTTTTTTTTAAATATATTTTTAATTTATTTCAGAGAGGATGGGGGAGGGAGAGAGAGATAGACACAACAATTATGAGAATCATCAATCGGTTGTCTGCTGCACATCCCCCACTGGAATGGAGCCCACAACCCAGGCATGTGCCCTGACCGGGAATCGAACCATGACCTCCTGGTTCATAGGTCGACGCTTAACCACTGGGCCACATCGGCCGGACAGGTAACCCCATCTTTGAAAGTGCCTACCGACAACTGTTGATGTTGGTAATAGAAACACTTGGCAGGATTCACACTAATGAGCGGGGCACAGAAAGCTTCAAAATCCATGAGCCATACAGGAATTATTACTCTAACTTCATGCTTACAACATACATTCCTCATATAACTTACACACATAAAATCAGGTTCAAAACCTTCTTTATTACAGTAGATAATATGCACCATGTGTATAACAAAATATACTCTTTAAATTGGCTTTAAATTTTGCTGCATTTCTAGCTTTGAAGAAATAAAAAAATAAAGCTTTAAGTACTGACCATAACCCACAAGACTGAAATTTTTTGATAAGTTGAAGTCACTCTACGAAAATAAGTGGCATTTAAATGAATAATGGGGTCTTCAAAAAATTCAGTTTTAACTTCTCAGAATCTTCTACAGTGAAACGATTTGCTGCTCTACATAATTACAGGTATTTTAATTTAAAAAATAGGCCACAGATTTATAAGGGGACAGAAGACTATAGTTCTCCATATCTCAAATAAAGTAGTTTAAAAGTCTCTCTTTCTAAAAAGTTTCTCTTTGTTTTGTTTTTCAGGGATAAAACCAAATGATGGTGGGGAAAGGGCAGAGCACTTCAAATATCAACGAGAAATTGGGGTTATATAAACAATGAACTCTGCACCCGGGTCCGTGGGCACATCCCTAACCTAATTAGCAGTTATTTCACATTACACAGAAGGATCAAGGTAGTGACAAGCAGAACAACCTAACCCTCCTCACCCAAGGACATCACTATGGTCACCAAAAACATAACTTTTAGCTGGAAGGGGTTTTTCTGAGAAACGTTTAACACAATTAAATGGTAATCAAAATACCATTAGCACTTTGTTTATGGAAAGAACAAAATCTCCAAACACAAGATCTGGAGTGAAAAGCCACATGAAATGTATTTAACAAACTCTAGAAATTTCATGCTTCACACATATGCCACTCTTCCCCAACCGCATTTTTAAACAATACATTGAGACTTATAATTCCATTAATCCCCAAACAATAGTGTCAAACATGGGGGGAGGGATTGTATATTGCAATTTGATACATCCAATTTTAATTATTCTCTATTTGAGAGGGAGGTGCTGACAACAAGTAAATAGGTTTTTAACTAATGAAAGTAATTAAAAGATCTAACTTTCACTTTCAAAACTTTCTAAGAGAAAGTGCGAAGCCAAAGGATAATTGTTTTACTTTAATATTCAGACTCTTTAAATATATTATCTAAAGTCCTCTGACTCTGGTCTTGGTAATTCAGTCTCAAAAATACATAAATCTCATAAAGTGATTGGACCAGGAGTAAGGCTGGCTCTGTGGTTTGGGTTGGCTTTTGATGCTCTGCTCCTTTTATTATTCCTACTTGTTTTAACATTTCTTTTACGTGAAAATAGTCCATATTTTTTCTCATTAAAAAGAAGAAGGGAAAAAAAAACAACGTTTACCTGACCCTGAGAAGGGAACTTGCAGTAATGCCTTTCACATGTCCAACCCAAACGCAGGAGTGGGGCTTTGTTTCTCCTTTTAATTTACAATAAAATTACACCCCTGTGGATCCCAAAGTAGGATAATATTGAGTTATTCAAAACGCAGGAACTGAATATGCCATCAGCCTCTGAGTCATTAGAAACAGCATACCGTGGGCTGTGCTCTGCGGACACTAACTCCAAACATAAATCCTACCACTCAGCTGCAGATGACTGCATTTTTAGTAACAAAGTGGTAACTCGCATATTGCTTTGGTTTCTTTAAGAAGTTAATTAGAAGTTAATAAACGGCCACTCTAAACTTTAATGTTCTTCTCAAGGCGTGAAACCACTGTTGTTGTTGTTGTTGTTGTTGTTGTTGTTGTTAAAAGGTACTTTACTGAGTATTCTTATATTTTGTGTACATCTGCTGATCTGATTGACATGTCGATGAAAGACTGACATGTAGATGAAAGAACTATCACTATTTGGTGACAAAGTAAGATGTATTTTAGGAATCCTTTTCTTTCTTTTTTTCACTAGAGGCCTGGTGTAAGGATTCGTGCAGCGTGGAGGTCCTTTGGCCTGGGCTGTAGGGATCTGGCCAAAACCGGCTCTGCAACATCCTCCCAGGGGTCCCAGATTGTGAGAGGGTGATTCTCAGATGATGCATCCTGAAACTGGGCTCCCTCCTCTCTGGTTCAAGGTACAACAACCAAGAACCGAAGCTGCCAAGTCACCACAGCTTGGCAGCTCCTGCATTGAGCGTCTTTGCTCTGGTGGTCAGTGCATGTCATAGCTATCAGTCGGTGTGTCTGCCCCCTGGTGGTAACTGTACTTCATAGCTACTGGTCAGATGATTGGATGGTCAGACAGTCACTTAACTTTTATTTTTATTTTTTTAATATTTTATTTATTTATTTTTTTACAGAGAGGAAAGGAGAGGAAGAGAGAGTTAGAAACATCGATGAGAGAGAAACATCAATTAGCTGCCTCCTGCACACCCCCTACTGGGGATGTGTCCACAACCAAGGCACATGCCCTTGATTGGAACCTGGGACCCCTGAGTCCACAAGCAGACGCTCTATCCACTGAGCCAAACCGGTCAGGGCTAGGCTTTTATATAGAGAGAGTCATGTAATATTTTTGCTCCTAAGAACTCCCAATAGGAAACTAATTTTGCTTGTTCTTTTTCAAATTCTGTATTGCTTAAGGAGTACTGGTTCCTTTTTTAGACCTTAAAGGGGAAAGAAGAAAAGAAAAGAAAAAAAAACTAGATAGCACTGTCCCCAAAAAGGGGACACAAGTGAAAAAGCGTTCTCTTAAAATAGGACATTTATTCAAATTAGGCATGAAGACTTGTGGGTTAAAGAGCAGCCAGTTTTTACAAATGTGACTTTAAACCTGAGGGAGAAAATTAATATATACAAAACATTATCCAGATACAAAGTAAAATCAAATAATAAAAAGCTTCAGATGAGATACCTTGTGATTTGTTAACATCTTTAATGATTTTCTGAAGTTCTTTCAGCTCTGCATCAAGGGCGTCATAATTCAGCTCTCTGGACTCCACTTTGGGAGCCTGGAACAGAGATGGATCCGTGCCCAGGTACGAGCACTGCAGGTGACCGTCCTCACTCAAGGTAACTATTACGCCCTTCAAATCACTACAATAAAGCAGAGAAAACAAGGCATCATTAAATGTGTGGGTTTAGATTGACCAACTACATTTTTATTCAATTAAGCTTTAATATACCATTAGGAAAACGACTACATTATCCATTTCTAAAATTTTAGACCAAAGACACAATCCAAACGTTTCAAACATGGCTTTGGTTTGGCTCAGTGGGTAGAACATTGGCCTGAGGACTGAAGAGTTTTGGGTTCGATTCCAATCAAGGGCACATGCCCAGGTTGGGGGTTCAACCCCCAGTTAGGGGTGTGCAGGAGGCAGCTGATAAATGAGTCTCTCTCATTATTGATGTTTCTAACTCTCTCTCCTTCTTCCTTCCTCTCTGAAATCAATAAAAATATATTTTTTTTTAATGTTTCAAACATGATTTGTATTTACAGAATTTGTCCCAATGTTCTGATTCATTACAGAAGGGGGGGGGGGACACTAACAATTATTATAATACAGTAGCTGTCATTTTGGGGGACTTAACTACACAGTAAATCCTGCTTTAAGAGCTTTTCAGGCACTATATCTTTAATCCTCACGCCAACTCCCATTTAGCCTATTCTTTTAGCCTATCATTTAAAAAAAATTAAAGTTGTTTTCTGAACTTGCTATAAAAATAGTTGAAGTGAACACCATTTGCTTCTTCCATAGTTTGCACAGAAGAAAAAAATTAAACATTGTCATAAACCATTTTGAGCTAGTACATAATGAATTTGCTTGCTTGATTTTTGTTATATTTTTTAGTGGCCATTGATTTCTTTAAAGGGTCACCAACCAGGTTCTAAAGGTTGAATCTTAATTTTTAAAAATCATTAAAATTTTTAAGAAGAAAAAAAAATCTAGGAAAATGTTCCTTTTTGTGTGACGAAAAGGATAAGTTATATAAAGCTCTAGGCTTTATTCAGAATAGCTAAGAATTCTTTCTCTGGCCTGTTTTGCTCAATGGATAGAGCATCAACCTGCAGACTGAAGGGTCCCAGGTTCGATTCTGGTCAAGGGCACATGCTTGGACTGCAGACTCAATCCCCAGTAGGGGCTGTGCAGGAGGCAGCCGGTCAATGATTCTCTCTCATTATTGATATTTCTCTCTCTCTCTCTCTCTCTCTCTCTCTCTCTCTCTCTCTCTCTCTCTCTCTCTCTTTCTTCCTCTCTCTATCTCTATCTCTCTCTTTCTCTCCCCCTCTCCCTTCTTCTCTGAAATCAATTTTTTTTAAAAAATCCCTAACCAATTTGGCTCAGTGGATAGAGCATCAGCCTGCAGACTGAAAGGTCCCAGGTTTCATTCCAATCAAGGGCATATACCTTGGTTGCGAGCACATCCCAATGGGGAGTGTGCAGGAGGCAGCTGGTGATGTTTCTGTCTCATCAATGTTTCTAACTCTCTATCCCTCTCCCTTCCCTTGTTTAAAACACACACATACACGAAAAGTTCTATTAAAAAAAAAAAAAAAAGAATTCTTAAAACTCCCCAACATTGAATCATGGCACATGGTCAGCTCATGAATCCAAAAGCTCAGCTGGACTAAGAGTAGCCACTATACTACTTGATGCTTCCCATAAGGTGGCCCAGCATCCATTTTTGCCATCAGCCTTCAACACAACATTCCTAGCTCCAGGGCTAAGGCACAGTCAGTGCCACATAACCATGTGGTATAGCTTCAGAAATATAAAAAAAAAATCAGTGTACGTCACTGATTCAATAGCTAAAGAACTGGACTAGTATTTGGATTAGGGACCTGGGCTCTAACTCTGATTCTGCCACTCTACAGCTGAGTCAACTTAGAGAAGTCTCCCTAAATGATCTTTATCTCCAAAGTGAGAAGGTAAGACTAGATGACCCTCATATGCCTTTAAGTTTTATGAATTGGTTCTGTCAATCTCTCAGAAAATAAATACTCCCAAAATAAAATTCTTTTCTTCAAGAGTGAAACATCATAGCACCTCTGGGCATGATCCCTTCTTTGCGGACAACTGAAGCCCCCTAGTGGTCGTGGAAATCCTAACTTCCAGCACTGACAAGCCTGGTTCAAAAGGGCAAACCCTCCACTACCTTTGAGTGCTCCCCATCCCATGCAGTCCCACGGGGTTTAGGGATCCACTGGAGCCTCAGGAAACTCTAGGACACTGAAGGGCAAATGTCTAGCTGGCTTCTCAGAGAATATTGAGATCATTAGTCCTTTGAAAGGGTTTTTCCACTTCACCTTCACCTCTGAGTGATCCAGAATACAGGAAAGCTAGCCTGGCCTAATACAAGAATCCCTCTCTATGCAAATTTGGTCTTTGAGTTGGCTATCTTATTATTGAATCACTCTGTCCCACTACTTTAGACAGCAAACAGCAACAATTTAGACACAAGGACTTACCTAAAAATTTATCTGAACCTTCTAAGCTTCTGAGTTCAGATAGGAAGTGTTTGAATAGAAATTCCTACATGTATTTTTTTAATTGCCTTTCTACTTAAAGAACATTTTATTGCCAAAACCGGTTTGGCTCAGTGGTAGAGCGTTGGTCTGCGGCCTGAAAGGTCCCAGGTTCGATTCCGGTCAAGGGCATGTACATCAGTTGTGGGCACATCCCCTGTAGGGGGTGTGCAAGAGGCAGCTGATCGATGTTTCTCTCTCATCGACGTTTCTAGCTCTCTATCTCTCTCTCTTCCTCTCTGTAAGAAATCAATAAATAATAAAATATATTTTTTTAAAAAGAACATTTTATTTAACAATGTTGTCCATAGGGATTGATGTGGTAGGTTTTGCAAATGACAGAATTTTATGCTGGAAGAAGCCATCAAGGAAATCAAGTATTGTCTGCCATACTACTCATACCTTTAAAATAGAGTGGACAATCCAAAAATTATGGTCTCTGGGTTATTACCAATCCTGAAGCACACCGGCTAACCAAGGCATGAGTATTTTATAAGGAATCAAGGTCAAAGATGTTATATGCATAGGACACATAATAATTCTGTCATTTTTAGCAATGGGGCATGACACTACACAATAGGGTCTGTTTAGGAATCTGAAAGTCATTGTTTCACCACTCAGAAAACAGATCCCTGTCCTAATAATACATCCAAACAAAATTCCAGATGGATTTTAAAAGTTAAACTTAAAAATATGAAACTGCAAAAATATTTATCTGCCCTTGGGATGGAAAGGACTTTTGCTACAAGAAAGCTATAGAGGAAACTACAAGGGAAATTATCTCTAAATCAAGCCATATAAAAAATTTGAACTTGTTATATACTTTAAAAAACAACATGGTAAAAAGAACAAAAGGCAAACTGGGAAAATACTGGCAACAAACATAAAATACATAACTTAAGTCAAACCATATGAAGTTGAGAATATTCAACTGTTTTTAACCTATAAAATCAGTTTTATGTGTTCCAGCTAAAATGTAAAAACTCTTACCAATCAATGAAAGTAAAATTACATCCAAAAACAAGGTCAAAAGGAATGTACGATTCACACATAAAAAGTCACTGAATAGATTAAAACACATTCCAAAATCAATAAAGTGTATATTAATATTTTAAAGCTATCCTTTATTATTTAATACAGCAAACTAGCAAAGGTACATGGAGATAGAAACTCACAAACACTCTCAATGGGAATGTAAATTTGTTACAAATCCTTTTAGAGAACATTTTAGAAATATATATCAAAAGCTTTAGAAATGCTCATTGCCTTTTTATACAATAATCTACTTTCACAGTTTTTAAGAAAATTTAAAATTGACCAAATGATAAGAAAAAGGGGAAATATTTTTACATATTATACAGCTATAACAGAATTCTTAGAAACCAATAAAAATCACATCTTACAAAATATTTAGTATCCGAAAAAAATAGCAAAATCATATTAAGAGGAAAAACAAAATATAGTACCGCATATACATTTTACCCTAATTTTGTAAAATACATGTATAAAAAGCAGGAAAAAAGAATTGTCTAAATGCTTATAATCTCACTAACAGACTATTTCTGTTAGTGAGATTATAAGCTATTTTTATCATGTTTCATAATTAAATAAAATTTAAAAGAAAACTATTTTTTGTAAGGAAAAAAAAAGTGTTCTATTTTCCACCTCTAGACACTGAATTTGAATCATCAACTTAGAGGTTAAATAACTTGTGGGATTAGAACTTTTATCTAGCTCTCTTTTTCTGATAAGGCCAATCTAGAACATGTACAACCTGAAAGCATTTGAAATACAGCTCACATGATAAAAAATGAACAGTTTCTTTCATTTGCTAATTCAATCAAACAAATGAGCAATTGTTTTAAAAACAAATGAAAAGAAATGCACTCAATCAAATTATATTCAGCCACATTTTATGTAAAATATTTTAACTTACCAGGTTATAATTCTGGTTTCTGTTATTATATATCCATATCAAAAAATATTGAAAACTGCAAACTGGTGTGCTCAGTTAGTGTTTGAATATCAATCCAACTGGTTCGATTCTAGGTCAGGGCATATGCCCAGGTTGCATGCTTGATCTCCAGTAGGGGGCATGCAGGAGGCAGCTGATCAATGTTTCCCTCTCATCAATGTTTCTATCTCTCTATCCCTCTCTCTTCCTCTCTCGCTGAAATCAATAAAAACATATTTTTTAAAACTTGGAAACGTAAACATTATTTATTAGACCCAGTTTTCACTCTGCCTCAGTAAGAAGCACAGGATTGGAAGGCATTTTCCTTCAAGAACAAGAGCAGATGGGAAGCAGGCAGCCCTCTCTCAGCCCCAAGAGGCTGGACCTGATCATTTGAATATACGCTGATTCACTTCATCTCTCAACAACGGAACAGAAGCTACACTGGCAAATAGAACATGGTCTTGCCCCAGCAGAAACTGGTCTAGCTGTAAAGGAAAACATCTTTTTTTCTTAAATAGCAACTGCAGTATAGCATGGCAGATGCTGTTAGCCCAGTAGGAACAGACTGCAGTGACTTGGCCAGAGAACAGGACAAGTTTCATGGGGCAG